TTCCTTGTTTACGCGAAAATTAAAAAAGACAATTTTTGGTGGACCGCGCCTCGGCTGACCGGGAAAAAACGTCCACCAAATCAACTGGCCCCCGTATTCTTTAATTTTCCCTTGTTCCATCGTTTCATATCTTCCATGAACGTGTTCTGTGCCCCGACAGCCTCCTTCTCAGTGCACTAACAGCTTTAAACTTCGCTTTTCCTGTCAGTTTCCCATCGTGTCCTTCGGACCGTCGCATCGCTCGTCGGAAGATAAAAATTCGCACATAACTCACGTACGCGGTCGAATTATAGAGTAATAACCGAGAAAAGCGGTTTGGCTCATCACTTTCCTCCACGGTACCCCGGTGCATTCTTGCCGAGTTTCGCAAAGATTGGAGGTTTCACGAAAAAAAGAATAGGTCATTCTCATGAAGACTGAAGCGCTAGAAATGAGAATTCAAGAAATTTAGATAATCTAGTTAATTCTAGTTAATTCAAGAAGTGTAGTTAATTTAGTTAAATTTAGTTAGTTTAATTGAAGAGAGCTTTTTTAATCGACCCGTTCTGAATCTCGGAAGTCAGGAAATTTATGTGTGTGAAGCAATTCCTGTAGCTGCTTTTCTATTTAAGTTTCTGAGGGTACGCCGGATTTTTTTAGAAAAAGTATATGCTACCGTCAATAAAAACCGGAAAATATCAGGAAATTCGATGTCATCGAGAAAATCGATCATGGATCAGGAAATTCTGAGTGTTTCAAGCGTGTTTCAAACATTTGAGCCAATTTATGAGATATTTTAATTTAATGAATCAAATTAATGTAAATTTATTCACGCCAAAAGTCAGGAAATTCTAGATTAAATGTCAGGAAAAATCAGGAATATATCAGGAAAATCCAAAACGTAAAGTAGACGCCCTGTATATTGTCGATTGTTGAAATTCGCATATATCATCATCGTCCGGCCAAAGTATCACAAGGCCCATGCCGCGTTTCAAAATTTCTGCCGCCATTTTATTTTTTTACAAAAAAATTTTTCAACGAAGCTGTCCAAAAATTTCACTGAATTTTCTTTGTGCTGCCATTAAATTCAGTGAAATCTTCAAACTGATTCAACCATCACTTTCACTGTAAGAAAATAAAATGGCGACGGAAATTTTGAAACGTTGCATGACGCTTGCGATACACTGGGAAAAAAAACACATTGGATCTAAGAGCCCAGACTCTTGAAAACATTGACAAGAAAAAGGACTCTTGGTTCAATCAGATTTAAGCTTCAATCAAAAGGAAATCCGCTCAAATTAAGAGGCTTGGTTCTTGATTTACGCTTAAATCTGATTGAATCAAGAGTAATTTTTCTTGTCGATGTTTTTAAGAGTCTGGACTCTAGATCCAATGTGTTTTTTTTTCCAGTGTAGGCCGGAAGGTGAAGATATAATCGCGAAAATTCGCCTAAAATGCACTCAAATAACAACGCAGCTCGGGTAACGATTAAACCAGTGAGCGATCGTTTGACCCAGTTATCGATTTCGGGGCTATTTTTCCGTTTTCCCGAACGGTTTTCCCCGCCGCCGCGGCTCGGACGTGAGGACGAGTGGTGTTCTACCGGACAGATTTTCCTCTCGCTTTTCGGCTGATTCGGTCCGAGTTTCGCGGGGAAAGTGAGTTATGATCGCTCGATTTTTCACCGGCTTAATCGAGCGATGACCGTCAGGCATTCTTCTGGTCAAGGCTATTTTCCCAGTTCAGGAGCCGAGGCATCCGTCTCGATCTATTTTTGTCAGAGGGAGAGTTCCATCGGTCATCGGCTCCAGCGGGCGGATCGTTGAAATTGATTGACTAAGCTATAGACAAAGAAGACAAAAGAGATATGGAGGGATCCAATTGGTAGAAGCAGGTAGTTGCAATGGAAACAGGAGGTAGGTAATAATAGACTAAGTAACGGCTACCCACGAGGAACCCGATAGTTAGTCCATCATTTTCTCCCTTAGTCTATAGGAAACACCCGTTTCATTCAATAGGATAGCTCCATACTCCCTATGTCGTCTTTGTCTACCGCCTTGTCTATCACTTTCAATAATCGGCCCGCAGCGGGCGGATCGTTGAAATTGGCAGACAAAGATATAGGCAAAGAAGACAACAGGGATATGGGGGGATCTTATCGATGGAAGGGGTGGTTGCAATAGACAAAGAACTACCTCTTTTGTCCACAGAAAAAATAAGGAGTGTACAGCGATCCTATTGGTCGAAATGGTTGGTTCCTATGGACTTAGGGAGAAAGTGATGGACTAACCATAGGGTCTCTCGTGGATTGCCGTTACGTAATCTTTTATCTACCTCATTTGCTCATTGCAACTAACCGCTTCCAACGATAGGACCATTCCATACGGATAGCGAAGTATGGACAATCTATCGTTCATTATCCAACCTTTCGACAACAGTGAGTCGAGATACTTTTCCAATAAGCTCGCACGGTTGCAGAAGATCACGTAGCGCAGAATTACGTGACGGACCGATTCCAACTCCGTGAGCCCTCCGAAGCTCTTGGTCACCCGTAGAGTGGTCTCAAGGAATATCTCACAAGACGTGAGCTGACGCGAAAGGATCCCGCCGCGATGATCCCTTTCAGGACTGCCGTGCTAAGGAAAAACGCCGTATGCGAGCATTTGAATGTTGCCAAATTTGCTCTTAGTAAATATCTATTTTGATGAAGGTTATGAATATTTTTCATTGACTTTTTCAGACTCTTTAGACCAAGTTACGCACAAAATACTCCAAAAAATCTGAAGAGAAATATTCGCAAATTTTCTCAGAAATTCGAGACTTGTCGGAGGAAATTTGGCAACACTTGATGGCTCATACGATGTTTTTCTTCAGTGCGGAGGAGCCTCCGCGTTTTGAGTGTCGAGAGGTACTTGAAAAAGGTTGGAAAGGCTCTCCTGTCCTCGAGCACCAACGTCATCCATCATTCGCCGCTGTCGATTGCGCTTTGCGTGCGGTGAAGGAGTTTGAACTTCGGACCACCCTCATTGTAGAAGGATGTCTTCGTTTTTTACGAATGGCGCCAGAGTTATCGATTTCATCGATTCGGTTATGGATGATGAGGAAAGTATTTCGGGCGAGGCGTCAGTTTTTAAAAGCTAGAAAGCATGACCAGACCACAGACGCGGAGATTTGAAACAAACCTGGTTCAAACTACGCAAATGGAGATTTTACATGGTGTCTGAAATTTCGTAAATTTCGTGTTCCAGGGTGTCTACAAGTCCGGAAAGTCCGGAAATAGTATTGATTTTGCTAGGGTGGTCCGGAAGTACTGAAAAAGTGCGGAAATTTTGCAAGAATGTCCTGAATTTTTTTCATTTTTGTCGCAATTTGAGCGGGGAATTCAAATTTTTCATATTTTTCAAAGTTTGTCAGTCGAAGGTATTAAAAAAGTACTGAACATTTCTGTTGTCTTACTGAATTTCTTGGGAATGTACTGAAAAAGTACTGATTTTTGGCCAGCCTGTTTTAGTAGACACCTTTATGTTCAAGAAGAAACTACTGAATGCACTGGCATGAGAGTATCCTTGGTTTCCAAAATGAACAATCATCATGAGGAGGTATAGCCGAATTACATAATTTGCTGAAATACATGTGTTTAAACGGGAAATGCCATCTGATGACGCGACGTCCCAAGGTGGCAGCTTTTCTCTTTTTTCAGCCTGTTTTTCTATTGTCTTTCAAATCGGGGAAAAAAATCATGATAAATACTTAGCATTTGATACGCGTAAAACGCAGCTCATTAAGCACTCTCAGATGCAGGAATAAAATGTTTTTGTGCAATTTCCCCTTTTGTGCAAAAGAGTAGATTTCAGAGTGATCATCCTGATCTTTATGCCATTCGACTTTCGAAAAGTCGACTTGCGATGGTAAGCCACTAGGAAGCAAGAGGGGCGGAAGAGGGTGAGAGGTGGACACAATCACGGGAAGTCAAAGCGCCTTCAGTTTTCAGGACGCAATACGGACAACCACTGAGCACGAATAGTTGCATTCAGCCTTTCGCTTTCTTATCCGCTCGTTAAAGTCTCCGGACTCTTCATGACCACGTTCGTCACGCAGAAAGGAACCAAGCCACATCAGCTATTGCCAAATTTATTTGGGTAATTGAATTGTTTTACTTGAAAGTGGTTGTGCAGATTTTTGTGCAAATTTCAGTAAATTGTCTGCACAGGATGAAGCAAATTCCATAAAGTTTTTAAAGCAATCCCCGCACACATTCTCTTCTAAAAAATTAAATTGCTCAGTTGAATTTCGCAATAACTGATGTGGATTGGTTCCTCTCTGCTAAACGCGGTCCAATTATGACAGTGTAGACAAACTTGGAGATCATCAACTCTGAACATTAAATGGACCGAGTTTATCAGGAAGGAACCGACCCACATTTTCGAAAAATTGAGTTAAGAATGTTTTCAAGTTCTACTGGCCGCATGTTTTCTCCTGCCAAAAACTGAAAGTTGAAAAACAGAAATTAGTTTGTGAAAAGAGGGGCTAAAGTTCATTTTTTACATTGAATCTAATGCAGGAATAAAACTTCAAACATATTTTTCTCAGTCTCAACTTAATGTGGGTTTCCGAGGAGAACAATGTAGACTGAATAACAAAAAGAAGATTGAGGAACTTCAGTTCACCAATAATATATAATAAACACTTTAAAGGGAAGTAGTACAAGGGGAAAACGCAATATAGATTAAGAAATTGTAAATATTTAGGCTTCACCTCTTAGAATGTATAAAAAGGCCTTCGGGTCATGACCTGTCCATCATGATTTCACTTCGTCCAAACTAAATAAATTACCTATTTTGTTCCAAAAAAAAAAAAAAAACTTAATGTGGGTTGGTTCCTTCCTTTCTGGTGAACTCGGTCCAAATGAGTGTGGTTTTTTTTTTTTTTTCTTTTTCTTTTTCTGTTCACATAGACTACAGTTTTTGAGTTTCTCAATATTTTCAGGTTTTAATTTTTGGTATCTTGTGCCTTTGTTGCAGGCAAGAACAAACCGGCGACCATCATCGTTCGCGTGGGCAACAACCGGCCGGACCTGGGCACTAACCCGGTCTGCAACCGATTCACCGGGTTCCTGGAGGAGGGCAAACCCCTGTTCCTTCCGTGCAACCCCCCAATGCCGGGCGCTTTCGTCAGTGTTCACCTGGAGACGACCGCCGGACAGAGCCAGCTTTCAATCTGCGAGGCCTTCGTCTACACCGACCAGGTAATAAATCCATGCCAGTGGGGATTCAGGAAAGTTGAAAACACTGCTTTTCCTCGCGGGAAAAATGATACAGTGCTGAGCACTGATTGTTCAGATCAAATGGAGCCAGCTACTATGCTGCCGTGCTAAGGAAGAACGCCGTATGAACATTCGAGAGTTGCCAAATTTCCTTCAATGCAATGGTTATTCTTGCGGTTGGTAATGGATATTTTTCCTTGAAATTTTCAGGAAATTCAGGTCAAATTGCGAACAAAATTATCTGAAAAATTGGAGGGAAAATATTCATAGGTTTACCAGGAAATTCATATTTTATCAAAGGAAATTTGGCAACGCCTGAAGGTCCATACGGCGTTCTTCCTTAGCACGGCAGTATGGCAGTACCGCTGAGATCTACAGTCTGTAGGGCTGGACCCTAAAGTTTTAGGGCTCAATGCCACCGTCATACTAGCTGGCTCAATTTGATCTAAACGGTTAGTGCTTAGCAATTTATTGTTTTTTTCCGTGCTCCATCTAAATGCATGTGTCGCAGGCAACTAGTCAAATCAGGCGTTTTATCAAATGCGTAGGCAGAGATAGTCAAACGTTGAGAGTTCATGAAATTCTGTGGTGAATGGTGAGAATTCATGTGTTCTCAATATTTTGGGGAAAATAACTCATCAGATATACGAACTCTCCGTGTTTGTTCCTCTTCACATGCCTCTCAAACATTTGAATGTCAAAATATTAATCTGTCTTTTATGCGTTTTATGATGTGCCAAAAGTTTCAAGATGAATGTTTGTTTCCATTATAAAATTTTCACGTAGAATACGACCAGTGAACCAAAAATGACCGAAAGTCTCTCTTAACCAAGATATTAAAGTTTTCCGATGCATGGATTCATACTTTCCGCTCTCAGGAAAAACAGTGATCTTCTTGAGTTAAAATGAGGACGGGGGAGGGGGGCGGGCAAAATGCGCAACTTTGAACTTGTTGTGCGTGAATTAAGATTGTTTAAAGTATGGGGGAATTCCTGTGGACGTATTTGCCTTATTTATTTTTCAAAGATGCAAGAATAAAAAAATACTGAACGAGCTTATTCATGAAATGTAGAATAATTTGACCAACGATGCAACGTCACGAAGATCTACTCGCGGAATATTCTACGCGAGAACGGGATAGTTTTTTTTTTCCTCGTACGTCACTATGCCGAGAACTATCATTACAGTAGAGAAACGTTCCTAGACGCTAACCGCTGTCGACTAGGGCTGGAAACATTTAAGTGACGCTTAAAGTAATGAAGATTCCAATCTTCTCCGGCAACGTTTAAGGGCTGTGCGAGGGTCTTTCTTGGGACTTTTACGGCTGTGCGGTGAACTTTTCCCGATGCAGATACCATAATAACTCGAAGTTCCCGAGCAAAAATATGACCACACTAGGACTACATATTTCACCAAGGAATTACTATTTCTGACACCACATAGAAATAACTTATATGCCATGGATTTCCTTCTGTAAATATACCTGCCTCCATGAAAGAACAAGCAACAGTTGGTAATTCCTTTTTTTCTAAATATAGTCCACTTAGAGATAAGTTCTGTCACTCAAGTATACAGATTGCAATTACTCAAGTAGCAAAATAGAATTTTTTTCTGGAAAAAAATTATGAAGAACATTTTTAGAAAAAACAAAGAAAAAGAGAGCTATCCAGAAAATAGATAGACAAAACATTGCGAGTCGAAAGTCTGACCAAGAAAATAGATCTATTTCATAGGTCTACTTTCTGTCAACTTCCTATTTGGAAAAAAGACAGAAAATTTATTGAAAGTATAATTATTTTCTAGCCAATTTCTTAATGTCTTCTTTTAAGAAAATGCAAGGAAAAAATTATTTTCTTTCTATTTTCTTGTGTCTATTTTCTAAATCTACTTTATACCTATTTTCTCTCAAGGGAATTGTTCTATCTAGAAGGTAGACATTTTCTTGATGAGCGCCACCTAGAAAGCAGATGACAATGCTACTCGGGTACATGGCAAAATAATTATCGCTACTTCATCGGTGTGTTGTGTATGCTGCTTATCTACGAGTTGAAGGAACACTTTTTTTTTAAAATTTAGTGTAGTGAAATTATAATAAGTTGCTCTTTTTCACAAACTCCCACCATACATAGATTCAAGTAAAAAATGAAAAGGTAACACTGAAACTGAACCTTTAAACTGAAATCTTTATGAAAGCCTTCTCAGTATTTTAATAATATTAATAGACAGGTTGAAACTTTATCTCATCTTTTTTAAACGTTTCTAAAATCTCTGACTTACCATCGCAAATTGTTTTCCCGCTCGAAACTACCATTTCCGGTTCCGGTCCAAAACCTCTTTTCCGGCTAAACGAAGCTCTTTGATTGGCCACCGGTGATGACACTCAATAAACGACAACGACAACAACAACATAACCTCAAAGCTAGCATACATATAGATACATACTTATTTTGTTGAATAGTCGACTGCAGACGAATTGCAGTTTTCCAATTTTCTACAGAAAATTTTGCTCTCTATGATTTTGGCACCTGTCATGTAATTAATAATTCGTTTTAAAAAGTGGTTTCATCCAGGTACTTTGTGCCGCCTGAAGCAGTGGAGGAACTGCCCTTAGTGAAGTTAGTGTTTAAATGTATTTCCCTTTGTTGAACGTTGGCCCAAATATTTGACTCAAGTTGGTAAATGACTTTAACTCAGAGAATCCTCTCATCTTAACTTTTTATTTTTTTTTGACATTTCAATCAAAAGTTCGCCTACCTTTCCCATTTGTTCAGACGGATACAGTAAGAAGAAAAGAAGAATGTCACGTACACAGGCAGATGAAGATAGTAAACTTATCTAGTTGCAGAATATTTGAAAAGTTCATTTCAGTCAAAGCAGTCATATCAATGCTCTACAGCCGCAGAACTAATTTGCTGTAGAAATTTCCAAAATTGCAATGGTGATGCCTTCAGCTAGGGTGTAAACAGAAATCACGAATCCAATTGCTGGGCTGAAAGATGTAAGAGGCATTACATTACAGCTGTTGAAAGATCATAGGTATCATCAGGTTGTAGATTTCAGTATTGATTATCAGTCATTTTTTGCTCTTGTTCACATTCGTAAAATAATCCAATGAATTGTTTCTCTCTGCTGCAGGCATTGCCGATTGAACGGTGTCCCCAATTCCGAGACCAACCACCTGGATCGACAGCTACGTACAATGGCAAGTGCTACATCTTCTACAATAGACAGCCGCTCAACCTTCGTGATGCGCTCGCATTCTGCCGAAGCCGAGGTGGAACTTTGGTCGATGAAAGCAATCCTGCTCTCCAGGGCTTCATCAGCTGGGAACTCTGGCGAAGGCACAGGTGAGTGTCTAATTAGACCAGGTACATTTAGGAATTAGGAACCATAACTTATGGCTCAGTGTAGAAATAAATAATGTGCCATTAGTTTCCCTATGCACTCAAGTGTTTTTACAGATGAGCCATAAATTTTAGCTCCCAATTGCATAATGTAGCCTATACGGACTAGGAAAGGTAGAAAGAAAAAACTCTAATAAATAGAGAAGTCGGAACACAAACAACAGGATAACATGTCCTCAATGAATGATACATTCTCTCTGTTTAACCTTGAATTACTTGTTTCTGGTGAATTATTCTAACAATCTCGGACTGCACACATAAATTTTGTTGGCAAAAATATAGCAAACATTCGTATTCATCACTCGCCTAGGCAGTATCTTTTGTTCCGAAATTGTTGAATGTTGTGCTCTTATTTCAGAGGACTTTACCTAGCATTAAAGATATTGCTTGGAAATTCAATGCTTATTTGGGGAAATCTCTATTCAATGACGGTGGAGAGTGAGGAAATTTTGAAACCCAATACAATTTGTAACATAGCTTGAGAAGGTATTTTCTTAAGATATTCCCACAGCCCTCCTCACCATTCGATTGCCAAACTTTAAAACTGCGTATCCCAATTAAAGTAGTTCTACATTTTTGCTACTCTCATCACATCTTTCCAGAACCCTCTTGATTATCACAGATCGACGATCAAATCTTGAAGCAACGTATCTCTAAAACAGAGCCATTTTCTCTGCTTGTACCTACTTTATCATTCAGGAGGAAAACATACCTACATCATGGTATGAAATTTTCACAGGGTGCTCCAGAAATGATTATGGAAAACGAGAGAACATTTTAGATCAAGTAATTATAATTTGTTATTATTTGCAAGAAGTAAGGGAACTTTACTTTTTTACCCTCATCAATATTTTAAACGATGATAATGAGACTGTTTTCCCCCCTAGCCATTAAGTTGCTGGGTGTGTGAAAACTCTCAAAAACTCACATCTTGAAAGGCAGATCTTATTGCAGTCTTTTGGCTCAAACCAACAGGTGAATGTTTCCTCCATTTCACCATGCACAAAACCATGTTGATGATTATAAATAGTAAAATATCAAACCATTTCTAGTTAATAAATGAACACTGTGCTTTTTCCTCAGGAGTGACACCAGCAGCCAGTATTGGATGGGGGCTGTCCGAGATCCACAGGACAAGATGAACTGGAAGTGGTTGAATGGAGATGATGTTACAATTTCCTTCTGGAATTTGCCTGGTGGGAACGAGGACTGTGCTAGATACGATGGCTCAAAAGGATGGCTTTGGTCGGACACGAACTGTAACATTCCTATCAACTACATCTGCCAACATCGTAAGTCAGACGTTTTTTTTCAGACTTCTACAACATTCTAACACCTATCAAGTGGAATGTGGAATGAGCCCATGTCAAAAATAAGGCAGCCACTGCAAACATTGATAAAGCAAGTTTTTGGCAATTGAACGCTGTCAGGAAAAATTAGTAGATTACATTTCTGATTCAATCTCACATCTTACTTGTAAATGTGTTAAAGCAACCACAGTAAATATTTTGAGCATTATTGTAACCTGTTTTTAGAAGATGTCTCTATCTAGAAATATTATCCTTCATGTTTGTTGTCGCAGCAGCTCTATTTTGTGAGGATAAAGTTAGCAACATTGTAGTGATTTAGGAATTAAAATTTTACAAGATTTCAAATTTTTCACAGACTATGCTGCTCATTTATTTTCTATTTTACAAAAATCATCTTAGTAGATATTCCACTAAAAAAATTCTTGTGAACTATGAATTCCTCAAGAAAAAAGAAGAATTTCAATGTCTCTTCCAAAGAAAATTCTCTTCAAAATTTGAATTTTCATCCTAAATGCAATTGCAATAAGTTATGGGAAATTCTCCACCAGAGGATAAAGTCCCTTTTCGTAGATTTGATCACAAATGTTTTCAGCCTCTCTTTTGACTTCTTAAATATGAGACTCCACAAATGTTTAAATTTTTAAAATCCCGAGTCCCCTTTCCTTAAATGTTTCTGTGTGTTTTAGAACCAAAAACTTGCGGCAAGCCTGAACAACCACCCAACTCAACAATGATAGCAGAGAACTTCAACGTCGGCTCCGTCATCGAGTATTCTTGTGATGAGGGACATCTGCTTGTTGGACCCAACACTCGTGTCTGTCTGCCAACAGGATTCTATAATGAATTCCCACCTGTCTGTAAAAGTGAGTCATGCATTCATTCCGCATATCTGGAGCCAAAGTTTTATTTTTTTAAAGCTAAACAATAGAATTGCAGATTTTCATTAATCTGGAGAAATAATCTCAATGAATGATGATTCAATAACTGCTGTACAGGATGCAGTTAAAATATTTCTTGTGTATATTTTTCTAAGTGTAGTGGAGCCTAAATAAACTGATAGCTTGGCTCCGATTCTTCACCATTTTTAGCAAATCCACTGTCATTTTTGCCAAATTTATCGGCATTTTTGTCAGTTTTGATCAGAATCTCATGGTTTCAAAGAGAAATAACATATTATTCCACTTGATACCACCAAGTAAGCTATTTTACACTTTCTTATGTCAGTATTTGTTGCTTACATGCGCACAAAAGGTGTGTAATAGATCAAGGAATCGAGTTGATAAATTATTCTGGACCATTGGACCGGTATGGGACATCCTTGAATGCCCATAATTCTCGAATTATGTATTATTTGTGGCATGAAATCACATCAAGAAAATAAATGTAAGCACTGCAAATCTGCCATAATGAGCTGAAGTATTGAGCTAAAAATTTGAATTTTATAAACATTGAAAGTGTTGATTCATCATCTAAGTAAGTGTTGAATCTGAAAATTAGTGTTATTTCAATTGTGTTACACTGAAACTTTCATTGGAAATATTATGCATTTATTATAATGCCTGATTTTCAATGTTGGCTAATGAGCCATTATTATAATCAGAAGTCTCTGATTTAAATACCTCTTTATCCTTGTAAAATATATTTTGCTCTGCGTTTTACAGAGGTGCACTGTGGATATCCCGCAGACATCCCGAATGGTGGATACAACTTGCTCAATGGTACGGTCGGATACCTGAGTCAAGTGATGTACTATTGTAATGAAGGCTACAAAATTACTGGTAGAGCACTGCTCACCTGTGACATCGATGAACGATGGGATGGACCTCCTCCACGATGCCAGCGTATGTCTATTTCAGTATCATCTTATTGTATGTGACTGCTCCCATGATAAGGAACTGGAGTGCTCAGAGGAAAATATTTCAAGAAAGCGCCTTTTGCCATGTTAGGTCAAAAAATCAAGATAAGGATAAACACTCCAGTGTCCCTGAGAATAAGTAGTTAAGAGAGGTTATTGATCGCTGTCCTGATTCAAGATTACTTGATTCATCAAATGCAGAGAATATTGAAAAGTTGATTTCATTTTGAAATTCTTGTAAGGGGAATTGATGGATATAAAGTGTTCAAATCAATGTCCGTATTTTGAAATTTTTTCTGATTCATTTAAAATTATATTAGTAAATTTTAAAATACTTTTTCCTCATCACAAGAAGAGACCACATCTGTGAGAGATCATATGAGCTTGTGGAGGAAAAGGTCTCAATTTGGGGAAAATTTTCGCCAGTCAAGAGACGTAGCCGTCATTTCGTATGAAGAACGCCCGAAAATTTATGAACTGATGACATAGCAGTATTTTAAATTTTTGAGACTCAAAACAGTTTTATATTTTGGAAAAAAGATGCGAAGTTTTATCACAGCTATATTTCATCATTGCCCATTCGTTTCATCACATGCATTGTAGCATTTGAACTGTTTCAAAACTTGATGAATGAAACCAGTCAAAAGAATTTTTGCTTTGAGTCAATTTGGTTCATCATTTCTTTCTTTTCTCTGAGTACTAGTTTTGATTGTTTCAATTGCAGCGGTCCGGTGCCCGGATCCCCCAACCATCCTGAACGGAGAGGCTTTTATTTCAAGTAACACAACTGTAGCAGGAACTGTAATTGAATTCAGTTGTAATCGACGGTTCAAACTTGTTGGAGCAAAACAACTAGTTTGCTTACCATCAGGGGTCTACGATAATAAACCACCAGTCTGCAAAGGTAGGGCTTTCTCTAAGTCTCTCCCATAGTGTGTCAAAAAACTTGAAATGTGCTGAAATTTTTGTCAGGAGGTATCATAGTATATTTTTCTGAGCCTCGAATTTTATGCAAGACCTGATGAGAAAGAGGGACAAGTCCAACATGGAACAAGATGTTTTAATGGCGAGGTATTAGAGAGTTTTGCATAATCCAACAAGCCTCGTAGAAAATTTTAACAGGTTAAGATCCTTTGAAAGAAGGTGCGTTTTTTTTAAGTATAATAATTCATGAAGTAACAACAATCATTTATTATTTTAAAGTTGTTTTGCTTCCAAAACGCAAATTCTGTCAGTTTGCTTGAAATGCCTTGGATATGCCTCATCCCAAATACCAGCAGTTTTACCATTTCATTTAAAAGCCCTACTGTCATTGGCTCTCTGGCGACATGATGCTTCTCACAACTGTTTTGTCTGAAAAAACATCAAGTTTTGCGCACTTACAGCTTTCTCACATCTTCTTTTCCTACAAACACGACGAATCATGTAGGATTAGCTGTTTTGGTGTTTTCATTTAAAAGAGATTAGACAAATTTTGAAAGAAACTTGACTTTGAAAATTTGAGAATTGCAGCTCTCTTTACCATAATGATAGAACTGGTGGAACATAGGAAAATTCAAGGGCTCTGGTAAATAAATAAAATGTTAATAAACATTAATTCCCTCTCTAATCATTGATTCTCTTTGTTAAACAGAGGACTTGCGACCAGTTCCTGGCCTAAGTCTAGGTCCTGTGGTGACGCCGACAAAATCATCCTCAACTGCAGCACCATCGACAACACCGCGAGAGCGCCCTCGACCATTCTCCACGAAGCCAATCTCGACAGTACGGCCTCGGCCCTCACCCATCCCGCCCCTTCTACCTGTCCCGGAGATAGAGGATAACAACCTGAGTGAGTCGGGTCGAGTGCCCAACATTGCCATCGCCTCCTCACATCCGACAGACAACGAGATTCCTGACTCTGTCCACGTCAGGAATGACTTGTCGTACAATGCAGCCAATGTGCCTGTCCACTCGCTTGAGGAGGATCACAAAGAAACGTTGAGCAGCAAGTTCAACAACTTAGGTAAGTCTAATATTCCTTTTTCGAGAATAATCAGGAATCATCATGAATGAAACCATCCTCAAGAAAAATTGGAAAAAGGCAAAATATAGCACTTCTCTGTGTTAAGTCTCAGGTGAATAGAGGAGGTCACCAAAAGTTTTGTGGTTTTGAGACAAAATAATCTCAAAAACTAAGTGCTGCTTCTACAGCTTGCAGAAGCCTGACGCTTTCAAAGAGCCGCTTTGGGGTCATAATGAAGAAATTTGAAGGCAGCGGGCTCATTTAGAGATTGTTACCCGCTGAAAATCAGCAGAATCAACCCGGCAGATCTTTAGAAATTTATCTAATAACTAATGAAAATTTGAAGAGTGAGTGAGAAAGTAAGACTAATTTATTGGGGAAAAAAATTGTGATGAAAGTCCTAAATGCCTATAACCCTCTATGGCACAGTGTTACGAATTCATAACGTTTTTGGGGTTTTTTCAAAATTGAATCTTTTTTCTGTGGCATGGTTTTGCAAATTTTCATTGGTTTTTTCTTTTTTTTAAGAACAGATACCCAAGAATTTAAAAATTTGAAAAATATTTGATATTCCATGATTTTTATGCAAGCTACAAAATAGATTAGTATCCCCCAGAATCTGAGATCCTTAATTCATGCCACAGAAGGTTAAAAGACTTGCTCTCTCAAAAAAAGTTTGCACTGCTCTTAGAAGTCCCTATTTCTTCAATTGGAAGATCTTGAAAAACTTGATGAAAGTTGTTAAAAATTCATAGGTAGATTAGATAGGCCTTGAAATTTTATTTTTTGACTTTATGAACCTTCTTCTTGGAGGATTGCTAACACAGCTCCCATGTTGCAGTTTCTTACAATATATATCTCATTTTGCTTTTCTATCTTTTCACAGGTGCCATTATTTTATTGGGTTTACTAGGTGGTCTAGTTTTCCTCGCAGCTGTCATCGTCACAGTAGTCATTTTAGTTCGAAGGTAAGTCCAGCCTAGCTCTCAACTCTCTATTTGCGCGATTAACAGACCCTCTCTAATGACTTGAGACTGAATTCGCGTCTTCTGTACGCTGTTTGGAAGTTGACTTGCCTCTTATCTAGCTGTCCTTGAAAGTGCATCTTGAGATGTCGTGTCAGTGCTGTAAGCTTTCTAACTTGCCCCATCCTGGCCATGAGCTTCATTAATGCTAATTGCCTATCTTGATTAATCCTATTCGTTTCCTCTGCTCCCTTGTTTTTCTCATATATAGTCGGAAAATCGAATCATTTTTCAAGTGTTGAAAACATTCGCGGAGGAAGTTTGAAATCCAAACACACATTCCTTCCATGTGATTAACAAGTTACCACTCACCTAAAATGTTCATCACTCACAACTGTTTGCAGCTATTTTTTGTTGGCTGATTAACTTGTTCTCCTACATGCCCCCTTTTTACCGGACACAAATTAAAAAATCTTACAGTCTCTTAACAATAGTGTAGGCAGTGTTCCTCGAATTTTTTTGTCACTCACATTTCAAGTGTCAATGTCGATTTCTCCCTTTAATTTAGAAGTATTCAATGCAAGCTCACAAAAATTTACATTAAGTGACTTCTGTTGTCATATCTAAATTTTTTGAATATTTTTTAAAGCAGAAAATTAATTTTTTAAATTTTTATTTATTTGTTTGGTCGTAAGTAGTTGGCTGTGACTTTTGATACTTTCCTCCACCGGCGAGATTTTTAAGGTCGAATTATTAGTTCCCACATTAGAAGATAGGTAGCTTGTATTTTCACTAATTAAATACTTAATAGTGTGCAGAGGCTTGGTCACAGACTATTAACTTTTAGAAAACATAACTATATCCAAATTATGATACAAAAATGATTGAAAGTTACCTAAGGCATCTTATTCTCATCATTCTTGCTGAGTCTTGAATTAGTTAAAGGGGTCCACAAAGTTCAATCTCTTTTTGAATGCTGGCATGTTTCCAGTGTCATGCTCAAGTTTTTTTTAGCCCAGTAAAACCTTGATTTTCCGGCCGAATGCGGCAGATGGCTGGACTGGACTGTGAAGAATCAAATGCTTCATTTAAAGTGCTGTACAAGCAGCAAGGGGAAAATACTGTATAAGTGGACTGAATTTCGCAATTTGGAACGAAAATTTCTGGCTCAGTTTAAAAACAATGTGTGTACCATTAGTCTCCCTATGTCTAAAAGTGTTTTTATGGACTAGCCAGAAATTGTAGTTCCTAATTACAAAATATAATCCAACTGATGGCCCACTGGATATGGTTGGAAACTAAGCCCTATCCCACATTTTTCGCATGAAAATTCGAAGCAGAAAATGTTGAATGTATCAAAACTTTTTTTAAGTAAATTATTCGAGAGAAATGAACAATTGTAGCTTACATTATGAACAGTAAATGCAAACCTTCCACTCGTAACAAAAAAACCAGGTGGGTAAAAATCGGCTAGGGTCGAATGGTGACAAAATCGGTCAAAGGAATCCCCTTGGAAGCAGCAAGACAGAATATTAAGGAAAGGAACATTTTTAAGTTTCATCAAATTTGACTGAAACACAATTCCTACAGGAGGTTTCCCCCTCCTTATGTAAGAGAAATGTGGCAGAATCAGGCCGGATATTACAGTGACTGAATGATTGAGGGCCTACTGTACTGAAAGTTTTGTAAGCTGAAATATCCACTCTCTGTCAATTATTTTGGGGTTCTGGGACTTTGCACTAATGTTACTAATGGTTGCAGCGGGCGGCAGAGAGACCTCCCGCCCGCACCGATGCCGTCTCGGTGGTACACGCTGCTCGCATTGCCCTTTCCCGACCAGCACGTAGGGCGGAGAGAGTTCACTCGCCCCTACCGAAGTCGAGCTGGCTACTTCTCTAACCCCATTTGACAATACGCCTCTAGCTACAGTAGCTCTCTGTAACAATCTAGTACAATCAAAAAGGTACCATTTATTCGTACTAAACACCGTTCAGCACAGTGCACGCTCCTCTTGCAGTCCACTGCATCACCGTTTTCATCGTTGCTTCGTTTCGTAACACGCCGCGCTTCCAGCCAAATCACACATGCTCTCTCTTCTGCGCCTCATGGTATTTTTCAGCTGTCTAACCCTAGAAAAGCATTCAAGTGTTTCTGGACAATGGTTTTCCCATTACAAATTTCCCATGCAAAAAAATCCATTGGAGATGTATTTGTGGAATATGATTTGTCATCTTGCACCGGTTTATCGGTCCAATTTAAGTAAATTGAGATAAATTGTGGATACTTTGAGGGATATTAAATTAGAAGGGTCAATCTGATACTTTTTTTTTCATGTCCAAAATTAAGCCTCTTTCTCTGATGGTATCGTAGATCACCTTAGTTTTATACACAGTGTATGGAATCTTGCACAACTCATAAAGCTATTTTGACTATAAGTTTGAAATTACGGTTTATGTTTGCTGAGCGTTAAGCTATAACATTAGCAACAATGTAATAAGAAAACGCCTGATTTTTAGAGAAATTAGTTGGAAAACCCAATTAAAATTGATTTTAACAGGAGATTAGGAGTTCACTCAGAATGTGAATCTAGGTTGCAATATTGTGATTTCTGTTATTTTGAATTCATCATTTTTGACTGAAATACAGCCCTCCACAACCATATTATAAATTGAAAGATCATCATAAAATTCTGGTCAGGGGAGACTTTATAAATTTATTGGACGTTCCTCGAACAAACATTTTGTGCGTTTTCAGAGTTGATGGTCCAAAATCTTGGTACATAAAAAAGTCGGTATTTCGCAAATTCTGTCTTGTGGGTACCTATGACTCACAAGATTGAAATTTTGTTCTCTGCTAAGTTGAAAGGCCATAAAAAGCTGACGTTCAAAAAAGATTCTCACTATCATCCGATCACCGCATTGGAAAATTGCTTGACAGTGAAATGAATTTCAAGTAAATCCTGTACTCTCTTCACAACAGTGTTCAATCCATTAAGAATTGTTAAATAAGTGGAGTACAAACTTTTATACAAATTTCACTATTTTGCTCCACCATCTGCTTTCCCATTTCATATGTTTCTGTTTTCTCCTGTTACAACTAGAGATAGGTAGGTATTGATATTGTTTTAAGAGCAACTGTAGCTGAGGAAGGCTTTGCTTATGGGGTTTGGTTGAACAGGTTACTTGTTTCACCCTTCGTTTATCATAATGAAACATTTCTCTGAACTTACTTATGTTTTTTTGCTACTGTCAGGGATTTTGGTCGTCTGGAAAACCTGGGAAGTCAGGAATTTAATAAGAAAGGGAAAGTCATAGAATTTTATAAGTATAGCGTATTGGCTTAGCAACTTCAGCCAGTGCCATTTGAGAGAGTCTGAACAACTTCCGAGTGCCTTTTTCCTCAATCAGAATCCCTGGAATTGGAGATTGTGGCCATGGTGTAACTAAAGTTAGCATGATTAAAATAAGCAAATTCTAAGTTTGACTAAAGCTCAAGGATTTCGGAAATTTTGGAATCAGGGGAAAGCATCGGGAAGAGTCAGGGAAAGTCTGGGAATTGAATAATTAGGAAATCACAGAAACTATATCACCTTACCACTCCGTTTTATTTTTGTCCACTTACTTTTTCCCATTAAATATTGTGATATGAGGAAACAAAGAAAGAAACACAATTTTAGTTGGCTCTTTTGAGTTTAGACCCACCCCTATTTGGCAGGGGGCACCACATGTCTCAGTGTAGAAGTTCTCCTGGCACTTGATTTTACCTCCCAAGTTTCTCTCAAGCATAATCTGAAGGAACCAAAAGCATGATCTTATAATTTTTCTGCTATGAATGTTTTTGATGGTGTTGGTCTTAGATATTGCACGTTTGAATGTATAACGATTTGTTGTTTTTATTGTGCACTGTTGGTATTAATTTTTTATCAATTGACTTTCACCTCAATTCACCCTTCTTCCCTGTGCTTAGCTTGGAAACTTTATTTGAAGACTTCTTCACCGAAAACGTGTAGGTATCACAGAAATTGTAGATTTGAGAAAATGGCATTATAATTATATGAAAGCGTCCTTCATAGTGAAGGGTGCTCCAGTTGCCCATACATGAGATTATTTTGGTAATTTGTTACACAGTTGACCTTTTACGAAAACATTTTGTTCCCTCTTTTATTGCAAGAGTCACAAATTCCATATACTTAACCATCCATCTCCAAGTGAAATTTTACACAAAATATGAAAACGATGTTGATTTTGTCTGAAATAAACTCCAAGACTCCTACCTCTCTCTTTTTGCAACAAGTGTGACACTTTTTAGCCTACAGCTGCATGGCCTTGTATGCACATTTGCACGTCTGTTGTTGCTGCTTTATCAAGGAACTTCAAGATATTTAACAAACAAAAAACCAAGTTACAAATTTGTTTGCTTTTTGAAAATTTTTGTGTAGAAAAAAAATAAGGAATACCGTTTTTAGATTTGCCCGACCAAACTTACAAAGTTTTGAAGTCAAATGTACAAAAATGAGGTTTTGAAAAAACCCAATCAAAAGTTTAATCTGATGAACTTCTTTAACCATAATCAATACTTATGATGTACGTGGTTTTTCCAAGTCAGCAATCATTATTGCTCTTGTCTGTTTTTAATCCTTGCTTCAGTGATCATGAACAGAAGTGTAAAAAAACTCGCCATGGATGTGTTAAAAATAATGCAAATTTTAAGGGGAGATGAGTATTACTGAAAGAAACTGATAAAGTCATTCATCAGGAGGCCCTTTCATGGGAGGACCTTTCTAGATACATATTTTTTCAAAAATTTTTATTTAATATCTTACCTTCTCTAATTTACTAAAAAATCTGTGAAAATAACATAAGTTTATATGTTCAAAGTCAATGGATTTTTTCACATTAAAAAGATTTGGCTCATATTTATTGCCACGAGAAAAGATCACTCCAGAAATATTTAAGGAGAAAGGAAAAGAAACTCAGTAAATCAAGTTTTTATTTACTTTAAAATTTGTGAGAAGATATTCTCTCATTATTCACATTACTTTTTTAGTATTATTTACTTCTAGTATTAGTGAATTGATGTGAAACATCACCAAAATTGTAATGAGCAAATTGAAATATTTAAATAGTGAATTAATGAAAAAAATTATTATACATCTCGTGGTTATTGTGCGAGGTATGTAATTTATGCTCTGATGACCACATGGAAAGAATGAAATGATGATTTAACAATTTAAAAAAGAAAAGTGTCGGACATGTTTCAATGTAGATTTTACAGTACAAAAATGCTAATTTAACCACATAGCTTTCCAGCATTGTAAACTGTACATTTGAAACATGTCGGGCATATTTTTTAAAAATTTAAGTGAGGCCCTGGTTCCGAAAAAGGCACTTTTCGATTGCGATGTTTCAGAATATCTGTTGATAATTAATCCCTGAGAGAAGAATTTAGAATCGTAAGAAATATTGAGTAAAATTTTCACACAAATTTTTAGTGAAATGGATGCTTTCACTCTCCTTACAATGGATAAAATACTAAAGGAGACTCTGAAAAACTGCAACCGGGAAGCGCCCTTTTCGCATCCAGTGCCTCAATTAAGAAATCATCAATCCATTTTTTTCCGTGCACCAGGTCGGAAAGCCTTCAGCAATAAAAAACTTACAAATTAACATCGCTTTGATTCGTTCAATCAACTCACTCATTACTTCTAGTTTTTAGAGTCCATGAGATATGATCGACGCTTTGTAGCCTGTGACAAGATATACAATAAAAGAAAAATTTAAAAGCGGGTAACAAGGCTAAAATTTCACAAATAAAACCAAAACGTTTCGGCTGAAAACTCAGCCTTCCTCAGTTGGAAAAAACATTAAAAAGAAAAATGGTAAAAATCTAAAATAGTACTTGGCTAGTACTTTCAAAGGGAGAATGTTGTTATGTTGTATTTTTAGAGTCCATGTGGGTAATGAAGTATGTTCATCATGTGATTTTGATTGCAGGAACCGAAGTGCCAAACACTACCGCCACCGTCCTTCACCGGACTGTCACACAGTGGCGTCTTTTGACTCCTCAAGCTCGGAGAGCCGCAATGGACTGAACCGTTACTACCAGCAAGCATGGGAGAACCTTCACCAGTCAGCGAGCAACAAAGCGCACGCTCAACATGCCCGCAGGAAGGACATGGACCCCCGACTCGAGGGTATGCGTGATGGAAGCGAGTTAGTTGTCAGCGATGTAGCCACAGTTTATCCGCACCGAGTCGCTGGGGAGAAAAAGCGCCATCATCATCATCACCATCACAACCACCATGGTGCTGAGCGGGACTGGCGCCACCACCACCCTTCTGCCAAGCACCGCTACTAGATGCGGGTCAGGGTGCCCGTACAGAGTTAATACAATACTTGATGAGGGATTGACTTGCTCAGCAGGAAAACAGGCTTGTTCATCTAAAATATTGTGATTTTACGAGTATTTTGTGTTGATTTTGCCTCCAAATCCTAATCTCTTAGTATTAGGAGGATTCTTCTGTCCTTATGAAAGTATACTAATGTCTAAAGTGCAAAGCCTTGTTCTCCATTGCGGTGTTTCAATATTTCCGCTCTTATATTACTTTTTCCCAGAGAAACATGTCAACTTTATAGCTTGGAATGTATACATTATATTCTGCTAACAGTAAAGAAAAATTAAATTAGTTTTCAAGAAGTTACGTTGACTAGTTTTTCAGGGGAAAAATAAAGTATGACAGGAAGTCTGTAACTTCGTAAACAGTAAACAGAGGTACAAAGTTTTGAACCTTGGCCATTGATATGTTTCAAACCTTTCAGTTGATGTATGTCCAGAGAATCCACATTTCAGGGGGTGAATTTCGATGCATCTACATGAGAGAAGTAAATCTCAATTGGAGGTTTGCAAGGAAGAACTATCTATTTTAGTATTCTCATTGGCAATTTGTATCAAACAGGGGCATGGAAGTGTTAGAAGAGATAAGCGAATTCTGAAGACTGCTGAATCATAGTTTCCAAAAACTTCTCAATACTCTACAAAGAGTCTGTCTCTCATCACTGCTGGCTGGACGTTTGAATTTTCCTGAAGATTAAGTTCTTTTGTGCAGTGCAACACTCATCAGAACAATGCTCTGGGAAACCAGTCCATTTGTATTGCAAATTCTTAGGAGCCTAAAGTAAAGCCATGTCCTGTCAGCTTTTGGTCTGGAGACAACACTGGAGCTAAATCAAATCTACCCTCCAAACTAAAATTGTTACCTACCATAATATCCATTGCTAAAATAAGTAGGTTTTCCTTCCAAACTTTTTATGTAGATGGACCTCCTTTGCTTTTTTTATCTATTTATGAACACAAATTACTGGTAAAATCAAATTGATGCGAGTCCAACAACTCATTATTTCTTTCATACATGGATTTTATTTTCACAGGCTGCATGCCTTAACCTTTAACTATTTTACACAGTAAATCACAGGCAAAAAAAAAAGAATGCAACTTATCAGGGGAATGCAATGAATAAAACTGCTCAAGTTTGTTCTCTTTTTCATTAATCACTTTTTTCATACTGGAAATATTAAGACTATGATACCACCAGATTTTTGCCCAGGGAAAGCGGCATTTAAACAAGAAAAATAAGTATCAAACTATTTTTCCCCTGGTGAGTTTAGTCCTATTCTTTTCACTTCAAAATAGCTCTCTAATCTTCAATTTGTTTTCAAAAAATATTCTGAATCCAGAAAGAAAGTTAGCATGTTTTAATGAACAAGTCACATGTTAGACTGCATGCAATTTTTGGTAGAAGTGTGTACCAACAAAAGTTAGACTTATTTTCTCTTCATAGATGTATGCCCTCATAATATTGTTCATCTGAGAATGTGTTTGAAACAGAAACAATATTCAAACAATAATCAGTGGCTACCAAAATGGTGGTTACTCACCTGTGACAGACTGCTCAAAATTCTGTTGAATCTGCGAGTTCATGGAAACTATGAATTCTGAAGCAGAGTTTCCTCAGAGCTTCAAATTTGTAAAGAATTTAATCCACGTAAGGGAAAATAGCCAATGACACGTTTTAGTTGAATGTCTCAAAACATGAATCAATAAATTGCAGGATACTTTCTTTTACATATCTTTTTGTTTGACTGAAAATTCAGTGAAAACAAATGTAAAATAATCATCATACATTTTGAAATTATAAAACCAGCAATTCTTCTTTCAAATATCTTCGAAGGAGAAAATATGTTTTGCAAAATGTTCCATCGTATCATAGTTTTCAAGCTGTGCTCAAAGTGGCATAGACCTGTGTAAGTATACTGGTGTAAGCAAAGAGCTTGAGTCAATGAAGACTTATCAATTGCGATCCTTGATTTGTGTCAGTTGTAGTCATTGACTTAAGCTTTCAATTGGTGCTGGTATACTAGTGGATCCAACATCTGGTGCTGAAATCCTCTTTAAACTTAAAATCTTTAATGGACCACCAGCCAAAGTATGTATTGAAGCTAAACTCAACATGTACTCTCCTCAAAATTTCAAGAGGAGAACGAACCACACAACAAAAAGTCTGGAAATCAACTCCTGAACAAGACACAAGTGTTTACAATTAACACTGGTTGTATGACAAAAATACGAATGACATCATTCGCATAATGTAGTTGCCACTGGATCTAGGCTAAAAATATGTGTTAATATCGTGTTCAGACCTTGATTTCCCTAATCTCTGGTTGTGTGAATTGTGTTCTACAGAAGATTTTGAAGGGGAAACATGCCACATTTCTCTGTAGTTCAGACCTTGTCTCGTGGGGCATTCTCATTAACTTTGTTGGTAATTCAGCTTTCTCTTAGCTCATACTTATCTCGTAATGACCTGTAAGCTCTGGGGCGGTGAAATTCAGCTCTTTATTGGAAAATTGATGATATCAAATGGAACTTTCCACCTCTTTGCATGAATAGTTGAATTCAAGCATTCACAATTTTGCTATTTTCAGAATCAATGTTACCATTCTATAGGGAATCCTTCGCGAGAGTCTACCAGCAGGAGCTACGAGTTTGTTGAACTCTAAATCATCTCTCCATAAGTTCATTAATTTGTGATCTGGTTTCACTAATTTCACTTATTCCGTTAATTTTCATTCATTTTGCTGATTTATATGTTTAAAGAAACATTCGAAAGGGAATTGCTACACTTGAAAATCATCAGGACTATGCTATTTCCATAACGTAGTCTTCCAAAATTTTCTGAACGACACTCTCGCAATTTAGGGTTTTGCAACTCAATGACTGAACTTCAAAACTGAGTTTCCCAATAGCAATGTCTTGAAATTTCTGCTCTTACATTTTTTTTAGAGAAAAAATGGTTAAAATCTTAATCTGAAATTTTCACTCAGTTTTTTGTTCTTGCTTCACTGTCTAACTTGAAGCTGCAGTGATGAGTCATTTTTCCTCTAAAAAATATAGTGCGGGCTGAAATTTATAAAATTTTGCCTTTGAAACTCTTGGTTTTGAACTAGAACCATCAATGTAACACTCTGCTGGTTTTAACCTCTTAACTTAAAGCTGTAAAAGTTTAGAGAGAAAATGCAGAAGAACCGCAAGGTTACAGAATTTTTCTCTTTTAAGAAGGCTAGGATTAGTGAACAATTCCTTTTAATTTGGATTTTTTTGCATAGCCTGGCAACCAATGAACCGGTCAGTGACTAGCCATTTAATTATTAGATTTTGTCGTTTTTTCTTTCTGTTTAGTCATGAAACCAGCAAACGGAAACTTCGTAAACAGAATTTGAAAAATCGTGACAGAATCGTTATTGTTTGTAGTCTATTTATTTTGCTATTTGTATTTATTTTTACACGACAATCTAAGAAAATTACAGTTTTTTCAAACTATACAAAGTGTATTTTTGTAAAGTAAGTAAATGAATTTTGTAAATAAACTAGTGTGTATATGAAATGAAATGAAAACTGTTTTTTATATTTTTAAATTTTGTTTTGATTTTTGAATAGTAAATCAGCGTTTCAGCCTCTTTCCTGATTTTGAGTCCAAAGACTGGAAAAAAACGTTATATCTGTTCCATTCAATAGCAGCTACTGTTTAATCTTTCTTGATGCTGGAATTTAAAAGTAAAACCCTACAAGAATACAATGATAAATGTTAGTTCACAAACATATTTTCTTTCGGTGAGAATGATTCATATGCATACTTCTCATTTTTCATCCCAGCTCAGATTTGAAGTGCTCTGGAATTTTTATCTATGATTTAAAGTCTCGATGTTACCTTCAATCTTTAAATTTGAGCTTCTTTCTCCACAAATTGTCTCGGTTTTCATCTGCCCAAAGTAGGTACAATGTATAGTGGACCACCAGACAAGGCATGAAACTAAGCACAACAATTCATGTTTCCATACTGAAATCTTACCAAGAATATGATGAACGCATTAATATATCTCAAATCCAACTCAAAAGTGATCAAGTAGCGTTTTTTGTCTTTATCAGTTCAGACCTCTTGCTCTTGAAAGTTGCAGTCCACTCCAGTTAAATTGAGCACTGAACTAACATTGGTATTCCTTACAATCGAAGAATTTTCCTGTGGTGACTTTTCTTTTTTTAAAAAAGATCAAAGGTGCCATACATTAGATCAGAGATCAAAGATCATGTGTGTTAAACCGCACTCAAGTTTTTGCCTGACTTATAGGTTCTTTTCAATGGTTAATTTGATCTACATCCAAAATGGTTTTTTTGCGAGGTGGAAGTTGAAATTGAGTGTTTGTAGTGTAAACTGCAAACCTTAATTTCTTACCTATGAGTTGATGATGGAAGTATACGATATGTCTAATGTCTTCTGCATGTAACTATGATGAGAAAACACGTCTTATAATCGTTTAGTTCTTACCTCGTTTTGTGGTCCATTTTGAAGCTATTTATTGGGTCTCCATTTTTTTTAAAACAAAATTTTACGTTGCAAATGTCAATTCATTTTAGCATCTAATGTGCCTTAATTTTTTTCTTGACCTATCCATCGATGTGGAAAGTCTTTATTGCTACCTAAAAATTTCATATTTGTCACATTTCCTATTCTTCTTGATGTCTTCTTTTTTGGCTTTAATGTCTTAAAAAATCTCTATAAAATTTACTCTCATTAAATTATTTCAATGAAATCAGGTGTTAATGATGGTACTTTTTTATTTTTGATGAAATCATGTTATTGTAAATAAAGTTTAGCCGTAAGTAGGTATTTAAGTTCAATCATAATTTATATGTTTTTGATTTTACATCCATACTGTACAAAAACATACTAACTGCCATTTGATAAATACTTTTTGTTTCCGTACAAGACCTCTGCAATGTTGATTGTTACACTCCGAAGAAAACTATTGTGAGCTTCATTTACACTTGAAGAATATTTTGTTCAAATTTAAAGCAACTAAGTTTGATCCTTTTCCTTTAGGAAATGGGATAGGAGCAGGAAGTCTGAAATCTTGCTTTGTAAGACATGTTCTCAAAACGCAACTATCGATGTATTTTTACCCTTAATGAAACTCACTTGATTTTTTAAGTGGACTACATTTTTGCAACTAGGAATTATATTCCTGGCTCATCTGTAAAAAACCCTTACATGTATGGAAAACTAATACATACATCGTTTCTAAACTGAGCCAGCAATTGGACAGCGTTTAACAGAAAGGAAGCAAGCCACATCAGCTATTGCCAAAGCTAACTGGACAATTTAATTTTTTACGAGATAATGTTTGTGCAGATTCTTGTGAAAATGTCAGGGCATTTGCTTCGTACTATGGAGAAAATCCACTGAAATCAGCACGAAAATTCCCACAACCGTTTACGTTTAAAATATTAAATTGCCCAATCAAATTTGGAAATAGCTGATGTGGCTTGGTTCTTTTCTGTTTAGCGCGGTCCAATTGTGGCTCCCAATTGCAAAACGTAGTCCAATTCACATCATAGAAATGAAATTTAAGCTATTGAGTTGCGTTGGTATTTTTTGCTCTTCTGATTAATTAATAAAAAGGAGGACTTACTTTTGAAATCCCAGAGCCTCTGTGGTTCAAACCAGCGGCGGATGCTGTTTTAAAAAGAAAATTGAAACAGAAACGAAAGATAAAACTGTGCCTGAAGGTCCCATTGTGTTGGGTTCTGAAGTTGTTTTTGGAACACAATGCAATGGATCTGAAAGAGCACAGTTTTAGTTATTTTGTTTGTTTATAATTCAATTTTCTCTTTGATTTAGCTCCTAACTTTGGTGTAAGCTGAAATGTTCATAGTGTTTTAAGTGCAAGTCCTCTTATTTATTGATTTATCGGTATAACAAAAAATACCAAAGCAACTCAACAATTAAAATCGATCAGGAAAACCCCAACCTCAAAACATTTCCCTTCCTAGATCCATAAATTTAAAACTTACCTCGCCACAAAAATTCGTCAGAAATGTTTATTTGTTTTTGACTCAACAGAAATTTTTAGCTTTCATACTGCCTTGAAGTAATCACTTCAAACTACTCTTGTGTATCATGGAAGGAAATCTTGAGTTGCCTTTCAGTATTCAAGTCTTATCCTGACTGGCATTTTCAAAATATAGAAAATTACCAAATGGAAAAAATATTATCGAGTGCTTGTTAAATGTGAGGAAACGATATGGTTTAATACCGCAAGACTCTAAATTTGTACTCACTCTATTTTTTCTTATTTCCGTCCTGAACGTTGTTAATAATTTTTGTAAATATTAATTGAAATATACCTACCAGTAGAAAAAAGCTTTTACAGTATGAATTCCTTTGTTTTTTTGTGTTTCACTGCCCCCAAGATCCTAAGTTGGTACATACTTCACATGAAGTTATTCTGGTATGACTCCCATGCAGAAAAATAATATTAAGAGACACAGAATCATGATCAGTACTGGATTTAGGGATTGCCTTTTTGGGTATGGCTTCATATACTATGCGGTTGAGGCAGAGTAACCAAATATCCTTGTCTCAAGAGAACCTGTACCTAAGTGCAGGACAATTACCTTTGTAGGATCTCTTTATAATCTCTTGGGAGGAGAAGACCCTGTCTTGTTTCAACATTTATTTTGATTTTTTGGGCACCCGGAAGTTTATGTATTGATTTTGCCGGGGTTTGGTATTGTGCCTGATTTAATTAGTAGTAGGCTGGTAAACTTGAGGTATTTAGGAGATTGAGGATGATTCATGCTATATTAACTATTGGTATTTTGGGTTTTATTTTTTGAGGCCATCATATATTTACATTTGGTACTGATGTTGATGAGAATTTTTCACTTCAGCCACCAGGGATGGATTTACCTACTTGCGTATAAGCGGCATAGTGGCAACTGCCTACAAAAATTTAATTGTCTCCTGTATATTTCAAAGAGATATTAACACACTCAAGTTTGGTCACAATCCACCACGAAAAATATCTGATTTTTCTTGAGAAAAATTTAATTTTCCTCATCATAACAATCTTAGGGAGAAGCACTTGAATGGTTTCAAAAATTTTTGGTGCGCCTCAATTTCCAGGCCATAGCATCTATAGATCTCTTCTCATTACTCGCAAGAGGCAAAATATTTTCTTGTTTTAACAAGATGTAGGTGACTCTTGATCGAACTTACCTGTAGTAACGGGCAATCCACCTCTCATTTTATACATTTTAAAAATTTTCCTCAGTTAACTGAGACTGAAAAAAACTTGTCCATCCAACAATAAAGCTGATATGGTAAGTGAAAACAGAACTGAATGGTTCCTGTAAATATATATTCTGCTAAAAATCTAACACATTTCTTTGACAGTAGAAGGAGACTGTGCAGCAGCATCAGTTAGAATGCTTAGTTATTGTTTTCCCACCATTATTTTTCAACAGACGAATCATCCAAAATAATTCCAGTTACGCTGCCCATAGTAAACAAAAATAGAAACCCTGTAAATCAAAGAACAAGAGGACTAAACTTACTAGGTTTCATTCCACCCAAAGTAGCCAGCCAAAAATGTTAATTCCTGTAGGAACAGCAATAACTATAGTGGCTGACAGGGCCGGATTTAGGGGGTTGGCCACATGGGCCGCGGCCCATGGCGGCAAATTTTTTAATGTTTTTAAATGTAGGTATAAAAAAAATTGGATTTAGAAAAAAAAAAAATTACAAACGAGAAAAGGCGACAAAATCTCTCATTTCCTGAGAGTATAGTAATTTCTAATTTTGTCGTCTTTCAGTAATACAAGAGACAGCACCTTTAATTAGTCGAGTTAAGAGAGAAACCAAACACGCGATTTGGCCTGGAACGGCGCGGCGCAGAGAGCAAGGATGTCGAGGACTTAATATGAAAAGGAGGAGATCTCGGCGGCGGAAGTTAAAATTATTAAACCACATTTATGTTTGTTCTTGCATAATTTTTACGTTCATTTCTTTAAAATGGAAACCCTTGTCCACACAGAGATAGGTTTACGAAACTTAACTTCCGCGCAAAGTTCCGTGAACTTTTTCTAGTAGTGTTGACAGGGCTTTCGCAAAAAATGCGTTCAACCAACGTTCAACACGAGTAAACGCGTAAGTGCACCCCTCCCTCACCGGCACGTTCACTTGATAGTTTTTATTTACTGATGTTTCAGACCGAATGAGGAGGGGGCGGCAAAATATAGGCGGCCCATTGGCGGTAAGGAAGTAAATCCGGCCCTGTCTGTGCGAAGAAAATTCTGCAAAAACTTCAAAGAATGATATCAATTTGTTTTCCTTTTAAAAAAAATTATAAAGAGGTGGAGATTTTCAAACACCGCAAACGAGATACGTGGTTGTGCATTAATACCTATTAAAGATGCTGTCTCTTGTACCTATCACCGAAAAACGACAAAATTAGAAATTACCATAGGTACTCTCAGGAAGGAGAAATTTTGTCCCTTTTTCTCATGGATAATTTTTTTTTCTGAATCCGATTTTTTTTTACCTACATTTAAAAAAATTGCAAAATTTGCCGCCCCCTAAATTTGCCGCCATGGGCCACGGCCCATGTATCCGGCCCTGGGTAGTTCTCCATTCAAAAATCATCTGCAACGTCGCAAACTGCGTTACGTGGTTTGCGAGTTTCAACATCGAAATTTGATGTACCCTTTGTTCAACAAATACCTAGGATCTTTGAAACAAAATCCAAGCAGGTGTTTGCAGAACCGTCAACTGATTGTGAGTTCCGGGGAAGTAGACGCTCAACAAAAATTTCTCCGTCGATTTGAATTAGCCCGCCTTAATTTAAATTACCACCGGAAAAGGCAAAATCGCGGGCGCGGGTTTCCGCCGTTTCCGCGTCCGCTGTGTTCATCCGTTTCCGCTTCACAGTTTGTTCCAAAGAGGTTCATTTTCATTTGTTGGTTATGTGCGTACACCGAATTTCTTTTTCTCTGTTTCTCCAGTTTTTTCTAGAATCATGCCCTCACACAGCTTCCATCTGATATGATTGATAAAACTGTGTGTTTCTGGTGTCCTCATGTAAGTTGCTACAATTCAATCTAGCTTTTCATACCCTGCTCGCCAACTTCTCATCTCTCCATCCAACGAGGATGGACCTCATGGCGGCCTCTCGATCCCAAGCTAACATCTCCAGTTCCTCGCTTCTCTCTCATTTGTTGTTACCTTCTTTGACTTCGATTTCATAAGCAAATCTAGAACGGGGACTATGAACGGCAATGCCGGGAGGATTAGTTGTGAGGCTCACTCCACCCACGGAAGCAATGCTCCAGCGCCCAATCCCCTCCGGTCAGCAATTTCCAACACAGCCAGCTCACAACTCATCGAAGAGCATGTTGAAGGCCTTGAACCCTCAGAACTCAGTCACCAGAATATGCCGATACTTCAACCATGCGCCTCTCACTTGAGAGCTTGTCCAGACCTGAACGCGAGTGATGCGAAACCGCAGGCTTCATGCATCATTCCATGCACTGCCCCTAACTTCAATGACGCAGGGCAGTTATTACATCCTGTTTGTCAAGAGACCAGTTCAGCTTCATCTTCAAACAATGGTCAGCCTCATCTTTCAAGCACCCATCAAATTGGTACCTGTGAAAATCCAAACTCAACAACTCAAGTCAGCTCTAGCGAATCTCATAATCAGATGAGCTTGAGTGACCAGATGAACCCTACTGGTCCCAGCTTAGCCAATTCTAATCAGCATATAATTGTAAACCTGATGAACTCTGCTGCAAGTCAATCCGATATCAACTCGTCCGGAGAGTTTTCCAGCTCTGGAATTTCGCTCTGTCAGCAGTTGGAAAGCGGCATACCATCAGTTCTTGCTCAAGGTGTGAACCCTAATTTGCAGCATCAGAATGTGAATATTCCTGTTTTAAGTTCATCATCGCCTGGTTTAAGTCTAGGCCAGAATTTCAATCTTAGTGCTTTGCCAGTGAATTTGCTCATGCCTGATCCAATGTCCACCCAGCCTAATACAATTTTGTCGTCCTACAGTAACTCAGCATGTGGGAACTACTCTCCGTTCGACAATGGAATTCCATGGTTGGCAGATAATCGCAACTACTATGATCGAAACTTCAGTAATAGTAGGCTGAGTATGTTGGAAAACATCGGGTTGTGTTCGCCGAATTCCGTGGAGTCTTTATCGCGAAACTGCAAAGAACTGGGTAATTACTCCAAGTGTCTTTCATCTCTCGACCCTTGGCTGAACATCTCTAATATTAATCAGACTGGAAAATATCCTGATCAGATCTCGCCTACCAATAATCTTCTCCACTTTGAGCCACCAACCGCTGATCTGAATGTAAAATTGGCCGATTGTTTGAAAGCAGATCTTGAGAATAAAGCAAAGTGTGACTCTACTAAAAGTAAGCTCAATTTCAGTCAACTTGCTGTGAATACAGAGTTCTCAGATTATGAATATAATATTCCATGCATCAGCAGCTCGGCCCCATACTCTGTCGATCTGAGCAAGTTTCCTTACCATTTCTCGAAGAATGACTATCCGCCAGCTATTTCTGAAGTACATGAAGGCTCTGCCAAGATCAAGCATCCTTGTGCCAAAAATGTTGAGCTGAAGATTGATGAGTTCAACGCAATGAAGAAAATTGGAGATTGTTCGATGAGCAACCATCATGGTTTTTTCGGTCAAGAAATGACAAGAAGCGAGTGCATGACAGTGCAAGAAGGCTGTGAAGAAATCGACATGGGAAGTGAAGGAAGCGAAGAAAGTGATATCATTGTTGAGGACTCCGATTCCAGATCAGCCGATGAAGAACAGAATGAGGTGAGTCATTTATGAATTACACGTATTTCTAACAAACGGAACTATGTGCATTATGACGTAAGCTCTGTTATGCATATATTCTTATGGGTCTCAAGGCTCATGTTTCAATGCACATAGTTCCGTTTGGTCGAAATACATCCAATTCCCTTTTACACTATCCTTGTTTTAAGGGTGTACCAGAAATTTTATTTCAGCAACTTTTTCCATGAAAAATTTAGGTATGACACTTAGGTACTTAACGATAATTAGTTGTGTCAAAGATTCTCAAAAGACAGAATTCAGAAAGATGTATAAAATTTATAGCATGACAATTCAGCCGTATTGTCTGCTGTTTTGGCGCAGTTCATCAGGGGTGCGAACAAGTGCCATCTCCGACACCATTTCATGCGATCCGGGATTTTTTCCTCCATCACCTCCAAAGAATTTCCTCACTCTTCCAAATTTTTCTAAGTAAAGACACCCCGCCTCTTTTTTTCTGCTATTCACTTTCAAAATCTCCTCACTTGAGTGAATTTTCTCACGTTACTCACCATCCACAGGTATATTTCCTCTTTGAAGGAAATTAATTGCTGGTGCCGTTTCTCGTTTCCAACAAAAATTTCTTCACTGATTTTGCGATTCGTGGATTGCGTGCACCCCTAGAATCCAACACAAACTACCATTTTGAATTTTTATGGAATAATCATATATTTAAGAACCACAGCCTAAATTGGCATCAAAAGTATATCCTTTTCTTTATCTCAGTCCAAATGTAACTTATGATGTCTACCTAATTATAACTTTCCATCCTCTCAATTTTATTTTTTTGTTTCTTTCATTTTAGATTTCTGTAGACCATGCTGAAAAAATCTTAGGCAGTGGGGAAGCCAATCTCTCAGAAGTGAATCCATGCTCCATAACCTTGCGTTGTTTCATCTGTGATCTGTCAACAACCACAATGCCGGCCACTCAGTTCATTCACACCAACAGTGAGTTCCCGGTGACTTCAGCAACGAAAACACCTATCGTCTCCAAACTTCTGGAATTTGTCCCTAGAGAGCTCCACAAATACTTGAGCATCGAGAATCATTTCTTGTGCTGCCGCTGTTTCAACCTTATTGAGACTGTAGAGAGCCTAGAGGGCAAGCTTGAATCGGTAAAAAAAAACTTGACCGACACGCTCACTAGGACCGTGACAATTATCAACATTCGTGGTGTGGAGGAAAAGAAGATCCCTTCTTTGGAGTGGTTTCAACCAGCAGATTTATCAGAGGATCCAGACGCTGCGAAAAATTGCCAAGAAATGAACTCATCTTTAGATTTGGACAATCCAAAGGGCAATGATGGGTGCATCAACCGGGATGTTCAGAATCCACAGGAAGAAAGTCATGAGGTTAGTACTTACCATGTCTTTTAAGTTGTAGGGTCGGAGCTTGAGGGACTTTAGTAAATGCATTGTGACGTTGACATGTCACACCAGACGAAGTATTAATTCATACATCAACCTTTGGCGCATCCAGGGGGAGGCATAAGGGGGGAGAAGGGGGAAGCCTGGGCCTCATTCACTTGAAAAAAAGGAGGAAGGAAGAAGAAGATAGAAAGAAGGTATCAGTTACTAGAATGAGTTTATTTTTCAGAAGTGCCTTAACATCAAAAGACCATTTAGGTACATCTCTGAAGAACTTAACATAAAAATTCAAGTAATGAAAGGGGGGGAAAGGAAGAAATTACCTACAATGAGGGTCATTCTATGTCAATTCATCCAGGGCATGAATTCTACCATCTCAGATCTGTTAATAATTTTTACTACCTACTTGTTAGTATTAATGAGAAATGAACTTAGCCAAATTTCTAGCTTCCTAGGACGAATTATTTTCAAGTACCTAATCAATTACGGAAATTTTGACGTTACTAATGCTTCTGAATTAATGCTTAAGTATGAACTTTTTGCTCGCATGTGTACAAAAGTCCCCGATGTTCCGCGATATTGAGGTGAAAATTGTGTGACATGTTGTGATCTTAACCGCTGGGAAATTTGCGGCATTGAAGTGAATACCTATGCGTTAAATGTTAAAAATTCCGCAAAGCCTCCTGTTCCATTGTGCATTTGCCGCGATTCAGCCGTGACTATCCCCTAATTATTATTAATTTTTTATTTATTTATTTATTTTTTTTTTTTTTTTTTTTTTTTTTTTTTTTTTTTTTTAATCGGTTGAAAAATCGCGCATTTACTTTGGTATCGAGTTGACAAATGAGGAATTTTTTTGATTCAACGTATCCGTTGGAAATATTCCGCACCTCACTGGGTTTTCAGATGAAACTCGCTTCACTGCCTTCATTTTCACACGTGGAAATCAATCGAGCAACTATTCGAACTCCGGAGTAGGTATGTGGTATCATGCAAAATTGAAGGAAAATCATAGGTTTTTGCCGATCCGACATTACTGACGTTTATGAATATTTTGCTCGCATTGATGTGAAAGTCGCCTTTATATTCCGCGATATTGAAGTGAATTGTTTTATTCTTAATCGACCTTTGGGAAATTCAATGCTACTCTGCGATATTCATTCCAACTACGCGTAATTTTTAAAGATTCTATTAATCCTCCTGTTGAATTGCGCATTTGCCGTGATTTAGCTGTGACTACCCCCAAATTTCTCTTTTTATTCGTCCAAAATCGTTTGAAAAATCGCGCATTTACTTTGGTATCGAGTTGAAAAATGAGGAATTTTTTTTATTCAACGTATCCGTTGGAAATATTCCGCACCTCACTGGGTTTTCAGATGAAACTCGCTTCACTGCCTTCATTTTCACACGCGGAAATCAATCGAGCAACTATTCGAACTCCGGAGCAGGTATGTGGAATCATGCAAAATTGAAGGAAAATCATAAGTTTTCGCCGATCCGAAGTTACTAATTTTCATGAATATTTTGCTCGCGTGTATATGAAATTCCCCCATATTCGGCGATATTGAGCTGAAAATTGTGTGACATGCTGTGATCTGAACCGCTGGGAAATTGGCGGAATTGAAGTGAATACGCGTCAAATGTTAAAAAAATTCCGCAAAACCTCCTGTTACATCATCGTGCATTTGCCGCGATTCAGCTGTGATAATCTCCTAATCTCTTTTTTCTTTTTTTTCTATATTGTTTATTGGAGGAATTGCTGTGATCTTAAGCAACCACCAAGTTCAAGGCTGTTCTATACGATATTCATTTAAATTACGCGTAATTTTTGAAGATTCTACAAAACCTGCTAAATCGCACATTAGCCGCGATTCAGCTGTGACTATTCCTTAAATTCGCATTTCATTTTTCTATAATCCCTAATTTCTTATTCTTTTTCTTTTCAAAATCGCGCATTTACTCCTTTACCTTGTTTAAAAGTGCGTAATTTCTTTTGATTCATCGTATCCGTTGGAAATGTCGCGCATGTAGTGACGTAGGAGTAATCTAGCATTAAAAAGATAAATCGAGCAACAAGGCACTCCGCCTAAACTGGCAAAATACAAAAACGCGACGGAATGCACCTGCACATGTATCAGGGATCAAATTGTAAGAGTCATTCTTAGAAAACACAAGTGACTCGGGGCAGGTGTAACGAAATTAAAAGGTTTCGGCCATAAAAGTGTCGAGGCCAGGTAAGCCAGATTTATCGCACGGGCCTTTGTCGGAGCCCGCTGCGAGGGGGGGAACCCGCGTAACGGGAAAGTAAAGGCCAGTAAGCCTAAAACTAGCAGGACCAACCAGAGCTTAGCATCGGTTCTTGGACCAGCCAATCAGGGATAGCATGGGGTACGCTGAGGGCTGCCCCATTAAGGGTTGTCCAGGGACCGAGGTTTTTGGGCTCTGGAAGGCTCCCGCAGTTCGATCTCCAATTTCAAGTCAAGCGGACAGGTAAGCTCCTCCAGTCCTTAGCGACACTCATAATTTTTTTTCGACGAACAAATATTTTATCCAAGTCCTCTGAGACAACGACAATTATACAAGCGATTTACTTGTTTCCTTTGATTCATATCTCGTGCGCTACTGATTATCGATACTGTGTTGTTAATTTTTTCGGGACGATTCAAACATTATAATTTCTTCATCACCAATATTTTGACTTGATATTGTTCCTCTATCTCTGGAGTGTACGACTCCCAGAACCCTACACGCACTTACCGCGATTTGCAGAAGATCCTCTCGTCACTGCCTTCATTTTCACACGCGGAAATCAATCGAGCAACTATTCGAACTCCGGAGTAGGTATGTGGTATCTCGCAAAATTGAAGGAAAATCAAAGGTTTTCGCCGACCCGAAGTTACGGACGTTTATGAATATTTTAATCGCATTGATTTAAAAGTCGCCCATATTATTCCGCGATATTGAAGTGAAAATCGTGTGACTTGTTAAATTTTAATCGACCGATGGGAAATTCAATGCTACTCTGCGATATTTATTTACCTAATACACGCCTAATTTTCAAAGATTCTACAAAACCTCTTGATACACCGCGTATTTGCCGCCATACAGCTTTGACTATCCCCTAATATCTAAAACACCCTCCACCCGATTAGTTGAAAAATTGTGGGAATTTACTTTGACACCGAGTTGAAAAGTGAGTGGATTCAACGTATCCGCTGGGAAATTGAAACGCAAAATTGAAGGAAAATCATAGGTTTTCGCCGATCCGATGTTGCTGATTTTTATGACTATTTTGCTCATATCAATACAAAAGTCGCGTATATTCCGCGATTTTAAGGTGAAAATTGTGTGACATTTTGTGATCTTAACCGCTAGGAATTTCGCGGCATTGAAGGGAATACGCGTTAAATTTTAAAGATTCCACAAATCCTCTTGACATATCGCACATTTGCCGCGATTCAGCTGTGACAGTTCCCTAACTTTTCATTTTATTTTTCCACAATGTGTCGGTTAAAAAGTGAGTAATTTCTTTTTTCTTCAACGTATCCGTTTGAAATGTCGCGCATGCACTTGACGCGATTTGCAGATGAAACTCGCGTCACTGCCTTCATTTTTACTCGCGGAAATCAATCGAGCAACTATTCGAACTCCGGAGTAGGTATGTGGTATATCGCAAAATTGAAGGAAAATCATAAGTTTTCGCCGATCCGATGTTACTGACGTTATTGAATATTTTGCTCGCATTGATGTGAAAGTCGCCATTACTCTGCGATATTGAAGTGAATTGTTTTATTCTGAAACGACCAATGGGAAATTTAATGCTATCACTGGGCAAAAAAAAAAAAAAAACACACATTGGATCTAGAGTCCAGACTCTTGAAAACATTGACAAGAAAAAATACTCTTGATTCAATCAGATTTTTGCTTGAATCAAAAGGAAATTCGTTCAAATTAAGAGGCTTAGTTTCGTGATATAAGCAAAAATCCGATTGAATCGAGAGTATTTTTTCTTGTCGATGTTTTTAAGAGTCAGGACTTCAGATCCAATGTGTTTTTTTTCCAGTGTATTCTGCGATATTCATTCCAATTACGCGTATTTTTAAAGATTCTAATCGGTTTAAAGATTCTAAATCGGTTAAAAAATCGCGCGTTAACTTCAGTTCGAGTCGAAAAATGAGACATTTCTTTCGATTCAACGTAAATGTCGCGCATCTCACGCGTTTTGCCGATGATACTCGCGTCACTGCCTTCATTTTCACACGCGGAAAATCAATCGAGCAACTATTCGAACCTCGGAGTAGGTATGTGGTATCACGCAAACTTAAAGGAAAATCAGAGGTTTTCGCCGATCCGAAGTTACTGACGTTATGAATATTTTAATCGCATTGATATAAAAGTCGCCTTTATTCCGCGATATTGAAGTGAAAATCGTGTGACTTGTTGAATTCTTTATCGACCGATGGGAAATTCAATACTACTCTGCGATATTCATTTAAATTACGCCTAATTTTCATAGATTCTACAAAACCTTTTGACATACCGCGTATTTGTCGCGATTCAGGCATGACTATCCCCTAATATCTATACCCCCCTCCCCTCAATCAGTTAAAAAATTGTTGGGATTTATACTTTGACACCGAGTTGAAAAGTGAGTGGATTCAACGTATCCGTTGGAAATGGAAATGCAAAATTGAAGGAAAATCATAGGTTTTCGCCGATCCGATGTTGCTGATTTTTATGACTGTTTTGCCCACATCAATACAAAAGTCGCGTATCTTCCACGATCTTAAAGTGAAAATTGTGTGAAATTGTGCACTGGAAAGAAAAACACATTGGATCAAGAGTCCAGACTCTAAAAAACATCGACAAGAAAAAATGCTCTTGATTCAATCAGATTTAAGCTTAAATCAAGAACCAAGCCTTTTAATTTGAGCGGATTTCCTTTTGATTCAAGCTTAAATCTGATTGAATCAAGAGTCCATTTTCTTGTCAATGTTTTCAAGAGTCTGGACTGTAGATACAATGTGTTTTTTTCCCCAGAGTGTTTATATTTGTGTGTTAACCGCTTGGAAATTCGCGGCATAGAAGGGAACACGCGATAAATTTTAACGATTCCACAAATCCTCTTGACTTATCGCGCATTTGCCGCGATTCAGCTGTGACTGTTCCCTAACTTTCCATTTTCTTTTTCCACAATCTGTCGGTTGAAAAGTGAGTAATTTATTTTTTCTTCAACGTATCCGTTTGAAAGTCGCGCATGCACTTTACGCGATTTGCAGATGAAACTCGCGTCATTGCCTTCATATTTACCCGCGAAAATCAATGAAGCATGGAGCAACTATTCGAACTTCGGAGTAGGTATGTGGTATCTCGCAAAATTGAAGGAAAATCATCGGTTTTCGCCGATCCGATGTTATTGACATTAATGAATATTTTGCTCGCATTGATGTGAAAGTCGCCTTTATTCCGCGATATTGAAGTGAATTGTTTTATTCTGAATCGACCGATGGGAAATTCAATGCTATCACTGTGCAAAAAGAAAACACATTGTACTAGGGGCTTATGGGGCTGCTTCGCAGCCCCTTATTTTTCCTGTACACTTTTCATTTTCACATGTTTTTTTTTTTATTTATTTATTTTCATTTAATTTTCTGTTTTGTCTTTGAATCGGGTCTAATTATTTTTTTGAGAGAATAAATATAACAAATGTTTTCAAAAATTGTAATTTTATTTAGTAAACTTTAAACTAAAATTTTGTTTTAATCTTCATACAAAATTATTTTTTAGGTTTTACATTTGTTTTCAAACTAATTTTAAAGAAGATCTTTTTTTATTTTTTAAATACTTTGCTTTTTTTTCGATTAAATTGTTNAAAAATACTCTTGATTCAATCAGATTTTTGCTTGAATCAAAAGGAAATCCGCTTAAATTAAAAGGCTTTGTTCTTCATTTAAGCTTAGATCCGATTGAATCAAGAGTATTTTTTCTTGTTGATATTTTTAGGAGTCTGGACTCAAGATCCGAAGTGGTTTTTTTTTTTTTTTTTTTTTTTTTTTTTTTTTTTTTTTTTTTTTTTTTTNTTTTTTTTTTTTTTTTTTTTTCCTTTTTTTTTTCCTTTCCCCCCAGTGTATTCTGCGATATTCATTCCAATTACGCGTAATTTTTAAAGATTCTATTGAACTCCTGTTAAATCGCGCATTTGCCACGATTCAGCTGTGACTATCCCCTGATTTCTAATTTTATTTGTCCAAAATTGGTTGAAAAATCGCGAGTTTACTTCAGTTCGAGTTGAAAAATGAGAAATTTCTTTCACTTCAACGTAAATGTCGCGTATCTCACGCAATTTGCAGATGACACTCATGTCACTGCCTTCATTTTCACACGCGGAAATCAATCGAGCAACTATTCGAACTTCGGAGTAGGTATGTGGTATCTCGCAAAATTGAAGGGAAATCATAGGTTTTCGCCGATCCGACGTTACGGACGTTCATGAATATTTTGCTCACATCGAACTAAAGATCGCGTATATTCCACGATATACATGGAAGTGAAGATCTTGTGACATTTTGTAAGCATGGCCGCAGGGATGCAAAAAGCTCAGAGCCTTCTCGTTTAGAAAACCCCTTCTTCCTCTGAAATTTTAAAAATATGACTATGTATGTCGCTGTGTGTAAAATTGCTGCGATCTGGCGAAAAACACGGGATTTTTACCGCGATGTTGCGAGAAACACTTTATCTTTACCGCAGCTTAACTTGAAAAACGCGGTTTTGCCGGCCTTCCCATTTTCACACGCAAGCACGCGACCGATCGCGACCCGCGTAGCTGCGTTGTCGAGGAGTTTTTGCACCCCTGCATCATCAACCGATGGGAAATGAAGATGTTGCATGTGTGAGGAATTTGCGATTTGACTGTTGATTCTTTTGTGAAAGTTCGCGAGAAACACGATGGTGCCATTGGTTTTCTCTGAAATCAACTTCCAAGCTCAAGAAAAGCTCTCAAGTTGAGGCCAAAATGGAGGGGATATCCCACGCTATCCTGAGAGTCCACCTCTACATCAGAACAAACTCTCCATGCAAAGATAGGGAGCAAATACATTGACAGGGCTGCCACTTTATTTGGGGACTCCAAAACTAAAAACACGGCAACCCTGCTAATGTATTTGCTCCCTATCTTTGCATGGAGAGTTTGTCTTGATGTAGAGGTGGACTCTCAGGATAGCGTGGGATATTTCCTCCATTTTGGCCTCAACTTGAGAGCTTTTTTGAGCTTGGAAGTTGATTTCAGAGAAAACCAGTGGCAACATCGTGTTTCTAGCAAACTTTTACATAAGAATCACCGGTCAAATCGCAAATCCCTCACACATGCAACATCTCCATTTACGGTTACTTTGCGATATTCATTTAAATTACGCGTAATTTACCGCGATTCAGCTGTGACAATCCCCTGATTTAATCCGATACCGAGTTGAAAAGTGAGTAATTTCTTTCGATTCCACGGATCCGTTGAAAATGTCGCGCTCTTCGCGGGATTTTCAGTTAAAACTCGCATCTCTGCCTTCATTTTCACACGTGGGTACCAATCGAGCAACTATTCGAACTTCGGAGTAGGTATGTGGTACCACGTAAAATTGAAGGAAAAACATAGGTTTTCGCCGATCCGAAGTTACTGACGTTTATAAATATTTTGCGCGCTTTGATATTAATGTCGCGTATTTCCGCAATTTTGAAGTGAAAATTAGGGGAATTGATGTGATCTGAAGTCTGAAGCATCCTCTGGGAAAAAAGCTACGAGCCGCGATATTAATTTACCTTACCCGTAATTTTTAAAGATTTTTCAAACCCGATGGGATAGTTGCACATTACAGAACCCCGCGTGATTGTCCCTGGACCCTAAGATAAATATTAGCATTGTACCGTTTCTTTTTTTCTAGATGATCCTGCCCCACGTTATCCTAATATGTAAATTGAAAAATAGAATGAAATTGTGAATTAACCTCTGTACTAATTTCGAGGGGCGTTGGCTCATTTGAAAGGTGTTGTACTCAATGCTTCGGGAAAATTATTAATTATTTTCTGGGGTTTGTCCCCGATCTTTAAATCCCTAAAAACTCATGAATGACCCTGCTCCAGGTTATGATAGTTTTGATAAAAGAAATTGTTCAGCTTCAACTGATTGTGAGTATGTTTTTTCTTTCTGCCCGTAGGTAACTGAGTTTTCAAACTCAACATCGAAAGAAAATTCAGCGAGTCAAATTGAAGATTGTGATGCCACAGGACAAGATCCAGATCACCAGCTTCAACCCAAAGAAAATGGACCGGCAGACAAGGTTACAGCTTCTCCTGCCGAGAATCACACGGTGCCCGGAAAGTTTTCCGCCTTCTGTTCTGACTGCGGCAAGGGCTTCAAATCCAAACTTAAACTAGCACAACATCTCCTGATCCACAGTGGTAAATTCCACTACCTGTGCGAACTGTGCGGGAAGCCTTTCCGTCAGAAACACCACCTGGAGGACCACATCCTTAAACACGCGGGTAAATTCAAACACAGCTGCAAAGTTTGCAACAAACGGTTCATGCAAAAGTCCAGCCTTCGCATTCACGCAGCCCTGCACACCCAGCAGGACCGACAGATCTGCCAATATTGCGGGAAGAAATTCTCTAACCATTGGAACCTCGCCGTTCACATTGACCTTTGCTTGAAGGTCATTAAATTCACATGCGAATTCTGTCAGAAGACGTTCAGCCAAAAGAGGCTGATGGACAACCACGTGGAGTCAGTTCACAAAAACAACTTCAAATTCACCTGTGAGGAATGTAAGAAAGGATTCATGAAGAAATCGAGCCTTGATGCACACATGATCGTACACTCGGATGTGAAATCTTTCGTTTGCCAGAAATGTGGCAAATCGTACAAAACGCAGTCCAACCTAAACCAGCACTCCAAAGTGCACTCGCCAAGCGCGCAGTTCAGCTGCACCGTGTGTGATGCTAAGTTTCTACGCAAGAGTAGTTTGGAAGCACATTTGAATAACCACGAGGATAGCAAACCGTATAAATGCTCCCAGTGTGAAAAGGGCTTTGCCAGTGAGCATTACCTCAAAATACATCGTAGGCAGCAACATGATAGAGGAAAAACCGTGCGTAGTGACCGCCATAAAGGAGTGCAAAGTAAACATTCGGAAATTCATCAGAAGCAGTGCTACAGAGAAAAAGCGACAGATATTGCAGTTAACCAAACGTGAAGCTCCTGACTGATGCTGAACTGAGGTTCATTTTGATGTGATGTGACGTCGACCCTCTTGCAGTTGGCTACTGATGCTGAACTAAGGTTCATTTTGATGTGATGTGACGTCGACCCTCTTGCAGTTGGCTGTTGAGATCCAGAAGTGGCGCTGAAATGCTGTCAAATGCCGGTGAGTTATTAAATTCACACAGAATGGTTTCTAATTAATTGAAGGTGCTTGCGTTTATCAGTGTCACGATATAAAGTTAGATTTTCGGAGCCAAAAACAGTTCATGAAAATAAAAACGATTTATTTACATTAGCTAACGACGTCACGGGAACTTTCTCATATTCAGAGTATTAACGCATGTAGATTTACACAAACAACACAGTATGTGATGGGAAAATGTCCTAATGTAGTGTTCATGTAAATCTGTGTATGATGATGCTCTGAAGATGGGAGAGTTCCCGAACGTCGTTAGCGTATGTAAACAAGTAGTTTTTATTTTCACCACATGTACAATTTTTTTTCGTTTTTCCAAAAATCCAACTTTATAATTGTTGCCGTCGTCGTTGTTTCTCTCTCTGCGGGGTTGCCATAATTTCCTAACCTTCAAATTACCTGACTTTTCCTGATTTTTTTCCCGACTCCAAAATTGTGTAGAGCTCTGACTTTCCCTGGTCTTCGAACAAAATTTCTACTTGTTTTCTTTTATAAGGACGCTAACTTTCACTAAACTTCGTAAGAAAATTTCTTGTGTAGAGAACAAATTATGAGTGAAAGGTATTCAGTTGCTGGACAAGATGAAAAGCCTTAAAATGACCGGAAAGGGTGAACAGTTAGAAGATCAGTGATATGTTTCAGTGATTAGTGCATCCGTCAAAAATTCCCTGACTTGCCCTGACGTTTCCCGGTCGTCGTAAAATCCCTAACTTTCCCTGATTTTTCCGGTTTTCAGATCGCCGGCAATCCTGTCACTCTTTCTTCCATTTTCAACTGTGTATTTCACAGATTTATTTATGCCATGTCAAGGAAGATCGTGTATGAGCTTTCATGCGTTGTCATGTTTCCTTCAATGAAAGTCGCGTATTTACCGGAAAAATGGTGAATATTTTTCTTCGAACTTTTCTGACTATTTTATACGTAATTTAATCCTAAACATGTGAAAATTTCAAGGAAAAATATGCACAACTTTCCTAAAAAATGCATGTTTTACTCTGAAGAACTTTTGCAACTCTTCAGTATGTATTCATACGACGTTCTTCCTTAGCACGACCGTAAAGTTTGAAACGTAAAGACCATTAAGAATTCATCAAATCTGTGGCTTAGGTCTAAACTTATGCATGTCTTTACCATTAAGTATTAGTTGATGGTTGTTTGGTGAATACATTTATTTTAGACGCAGGCATTGAAAGATGTGTAGATTTTAAAGCAGCTGCGAGCCAAGGAAAAATGACTTGTGAGCTCTCAGGCGCAGTCGCGTGGCGTGCTTTGCGATATATCGATTGATTTGCCATTTAAACCTATGGGAAAGGATCGATACACAGGGTGTTCGCAGCGAACGCCTTAATAATCGATTCTTTACCATACCTACAAATGAGAAAATATCGACAATCGATCATTCACGCCACGCCACTGCTCAGGCGCACTGTAGATCGAGTCAATTAAAGAGGTCGGGCAATACATTTTCAACGAAAACTGCAAATTTTGATGTTTAATCCGTCACATTTTAAATTTTAAGGTTGGTGCTCTTAAATGAAAATTTCACGAGGAAACCAATGTAACCACGTTTAAAACCTCAAAGTTTAGTATGAATGAAGTTATGAGCTTTTTAAGTTTCCAAATTTTGTCCGACCTCCCCCATCGACTTGACCCATTGTGGGGCGTTACCAAATGTTCTTTGACAAATCACGAATGTTCGGGGCACTCGTGGATCTTTTCCTTCTGATTTTCCAGATAATTTTGCCCGTACTTTAATCCAAAAAGTCTAAAATTTTCAAGGAATGATACCTTTGACTTCGTTCGGAAATCAATCTTTTCTGAGAGGAAACTTCGCAAAGTTTGAATGCCCATACGTCGTATTTCCTTGGAACGGCAGGGAGGGTGTAAAAGCACAGATACTTTTAAAGGGAAAAGCACGAAAGTTTAGAAAATGTAAAATTATGTATGAGAAGGTACGGTTTTACCTACGAGATTTTCCCGCGGGGTACGCGATTTTTTAACTTGGAGTATTCTATTACGCGCCCAAAGTTCAATGCAGCTCCTTTATGCATCAGGAATTAGCAATTTAAGTAATGTTTCTCAATTAATTAGTCTTCGCGAGACACACGATGTGGCTCTGGTTTCCTTGAAACGAACTCCGAAGCTCGAAAAAAGCAGGGGTGCATAACGTTTGCGGATCAACCGGTCGTGAACTGCGAAAGCTGTGCGAAAATTACGTAGGCTGCAACCTTGAGGAATGAATGAAATAAAATTCATTAATTTTTGATCAAAATGCGTTCCATACTCGTGTGCACGCATTGCCATACTGTTAAATATCAATGAATTACTCTGAGTGAACATCCGGCGTGAAAAAAAAATCCAGCGCGAATTTCGCGCCGTACTCCGAGTGAATAGATCAGAGCATAAATATCACCAACGACGGTCGAATTAGTGGAGGTACCTCAAGCAGCGTAAATTCAGGGCCTACTGGTACGTGCGCCGAATGGCAAAGTGGTAGCGAACTCGTCTATCACCGCCGCGACTCGAGTTTGAATCCCTGCTGCGGCAGTTCCGTTTTACGTTTGCCTGTCAGATTTTCACTCCCGCCAGCAGCCCGACCACAGACTTCTGACTTCCATCGATATTGATAGAACTCGGTTCCATTCCAATGGAATACCCTTCGAGGGCGACCACAGACCTATAGATCTATAGAAACGGCCTTTGGAACTCTGTTCCATCGCTCATGGGTCGATAGAACTGCTCGATTCCATCGAAATTGAGGTTAGGGTTCTTCTTTTTTGTACGTGCTTCTCACTCGTCGGCCATTGAAGTTGATTTATAGTCCAGGCAAATAAGCCATGAAAAGGGCTATAGCCTGCAAAAATCCCGGGTAGCAATGTTTTCATCGATTACTATGTAATTTTTGACGCTGAATCCGAATTTCAACTTTGCGCCATTAAATTCGGACCGGAAAGTTGCCAAATTTGGCAAAAATGGCCTAAAATCGGACTTTTTCCCGGATTATGGCCTGTAACTTGCCAAGAATTGATCTGACGATAAAATTAGTTATTTTCAGAAATAAAGCTCGTTAAATTTCCTATAAAAAAGTTCCTATACCTTTTTTTGCTCAATGCAAAATCAAGCGCGCTGGCGGGCTCCGAACTTTCAAAAATGAGCAAAAATCGTGTTTTTCGCGGTTTTTGCCCGATGTCTCCTGTTTTAATCCTCCGACGAGTAATTTCTGGACAAATTAAATGAAGATGATAAAATTTACACCTAGTGAAATTAATTGATGTAAATAATAAGGATAACCCAACACATTACAGTATGCGCAATTTTCGCACATTTTACAAAGTTCGGAGCCCGCTAGCGCGCTTGATTTTGCCTTGAGCAAAAAAGTTTATAGGAACTTTTTTATAGGAAATTGAACGAGCTTTATTTCTGAAAATAACTAATATTATCGTCAGATCAATTTTTGGCAAGTTACAGGCCATAATCCGGGAAAAAGTCCGATTTTAGGCCATTTTTGCCAAATTTGGCAACTTTCCGGTCCGAATTTAATGGCGCAAAGTTGAAATTCGGATTCAGCGTCAAAAATTACATAGTAATCGATGAAAACATTGCTACCCGGGATTTTTGCAGGCTCTTTTCCTTGTTTGCCTGGACTATTAGTTCAAGTTATTGGTTGAAACCGAAATTTTGAGGTTAGTGTATCTCCCGCCATTTATGTTTTCCAACCTGCTTCTTCTTCTTCGATGCATGCATCAAGGACGGTGATTGGTTGAGAACATTTTCCTCTTTTTCAGTTAATCGTTCAACATCGCACGCCTTCCATCGCCGTTCCATCGCGGTCCGTGGTCGCAAAAATTCTGGCGATAGAACTGCTATGGAACAAACTTGCACTTCCATCGCCGGGAGCCATAGAAGTCTGTGGTCGGGCTGCAGAGCGCGAAATTCGCGCCGGAACCATGCACTCAGAGCAAAAGGTGGTCAAAATAGTAACCGAGTGACCGTGAATTTCGCGCCGGGATTTTTAACAGTGTACACATTATATGCGTAATACCGTACGCATTCGGGAACTTGGCGCGATTTGCGAGCCAAGAACGTAGCGCAGTCGTCTAATCAGACTGCATTGGCTTAGCTCCTCCTCCATGTTTGAAGTACATTTTGCATTGAGCTAGGAACTACTATATCTAGCTCACTTTAGAAACGACGTATATCCCATTACTTTCCTTATTTAGAAAAGTGATTTATAAATGAGTCAGAAATTGCAGTTCCTGATCGCAAAATGAAGTCCAATTAAGACATTTTTAACTCCCACGCGCTGTCTTGTGCCGGTCTCTATAAGAATAACGTCAATCCAGATTCGCTGCCGATCACTCCTACAGAACGTTTTATTAAACCGCTATAAAAAAACGACGAGTTCGGATGGAATCAAATGGCGCATTGACGTTTCATTCACTTGGAGACCGATCTTTTTGGAGACTTAAACGCAAGGCTAGAAAAGTAGAGGTTCACATTACAAATTGAATGATTTCCACCAAGTCCTCGCTTTCAATTCTCTGTTCACGAAGGAGGTGCGTGCCCTAGTTCACGAGTGACGACACTGCAGAACATATATTTATTTTCTCTAAGATTTTCTCTAAGAGTAACGGCAGTCCAGCGGGTCGATTGTTGAATCGTTATCGAATGATCCTGATCGATAAATCCCTACCCTAGCAATGCTCCTTATCGATCAAGGTCATTCGATATCGATTCAACAATCGAGGCGCAGCGGGTCGATTGTTGAATCGTTATCGAATGATCCTGATCGATAAATCCCTACCAATGCTTCTTATTGATCAAGGTCATTCGATATCGATTCAACAATCGAGGCGCAAATTTGCTACCGATCACTCCCACAGAACGTTTTATAAAACCGCTCAAAAAGAAAAACAACGAGTTTGGATGGAATCAAATGACGCATTGATGTTTCAATTACTTGGACCGATGTTTTTGGAGACTTGAACGCTATGCTAGAAAAGTAGAGGTTCACATTGCACATTGAATGATTTCCACCAATACAAGTCCTCGCTTTGAATTCTCCGTTTATGAAAGAGGTGCCCTATTTCGCGAGTGATGCCACTGCAGAACACACATTTCTTTTCTCGGATGCCGTAATCACACGTTAAATGTGGCTTGAATGTGGAAGTCATCGGTCTGACGCCTGAATTTTGCGCGTGTCGTGCCGATTCTCAGCAACGATTCTCAGCGACAGTCGGATAATGTCGGATTTGTCGGAACTAAGAGAATAGATTTGACACACATTTGGATGAAAATAACTCGAATATTCGAAATTACAGGTGTTGAGTGTTGACTTTTGACTTACATATTCAGCTGCCTAATTCAGCGTGTGATTCCGGCATAAGATTTTCTAAGAATAACGTCAATCCAACTTTGCTGCCAATCACTTCTACAGAAAGTTTCATAAAACCGCTAAAAAAACAAGTTCAGATGGACTGAAATGGCACTTTGACGTTTTAACTTCTTGGAGACCAATATTTTTGGAGACTTAAACGCAAGGCTAGAAAAGTAGAGGTACACATTACACGCATTAAATGGCACAATGATGTTTCATATGGCACTTTGACGTTTTAACTTCTTGGAGACCAATATTTTTGGAGACTTAAACGCAAGGCTAGAAAAGTAGAGGTACACATTACACGCATTAAATGGCACAATGATGTTTCATGTACTTAAAGACCAATATTTTTGGAGACTCAAACGCAAGGCTAGGAAAGTAGAGGTATACATTACACATTGAATGATTTCCACCAAGTCCTCGCTTTCTTTTTCTCTGTTTATGAAAGGAGTGTCCAAGTTCGCGAGTGACGCCACTGCAGAACACACATTTCCTTTACCTTATTCTCCCCACAGAATGAATATCTTGATAGTATAATCAAGATCCTTAAGTTGCAAAAGTTGAGCATCGCTATCGCGGTCAATTCTGAATAATGGGCCTGTTGCAAACTTTTGCTAGAGCAGAATGAAGAGTTGTTTCCTATAGATAATGCCTCAAAAATCACGATGAGCGCATCGGCAAAGTCTGAAATGCACTCATAACTTCACAATCTGCGTAAGAAATTTGCGTTATTTTGAGCTTCCCGCTTCAAAAACGATACTACTGCACAGGTGAACATTTTGTTAGAGGAGTCGCTCCATCGTCGGCAATATTCATCATGGCCGACGCTTGCGCAGTTCCTCGCGTAATTCGAGGAGAGTTCAAGGTCAATTAAGGCGGGCGAGGAAAATATGAACGTAAACACGCCGATTGTTAAATGGTTTCATCCTGTTCAAGTGTTATCTCGTCCCATCACACGTGTTTTGGCGGACTGCACTGTTAAAAAAAACGGAGTGAGACTCAGCACAAGCGCGAGTAAGAACGGGCCCTCACTTCGCCGGACCGAGGAGTCACTCCGACGGAGAATCGGCTGGACGGATTTTGCGTGCCGTACGCGTAGAAATCACTCCGACGCCGGACGGATTCGCGGGAGCCGCAAATTTAGGGGTTCGCAGCTAGGGGATGGTGGAAAGGGGTTAATTGTGGAAATAATTTTTGAAACCATGAAAAATAAAAATAATGTAACCAATGATACGTGATTAAACCGATTTTGAAGGTTAGAAATTTCCTACCTACCTTGGGAATTGATCCCGGGACCTACCTAACACTGACCGACGACCCTACCGATTGAGCTTTAGCGAACGATACATGCAAGTGACGCAAAAACGGTATTTAACGTCGACTTGAATGGGCCGCTAAGATATTTTCAATCTACCTGGATTTGTCCGCGTATTTAGTTTACTTTACTATATTTTTTAACTATATTTTATCGTTTTACTTTGTTTTATTTCCTTGTTGTCTCTATTTTTTCTTCACTCTATTTTATTTTTTCAAGCACTTCATTTTTTTTTCTTTAATTATTTACTTCTCATTCCTTTACTTTGTTTTATATTCACTGTGATTTCTTTTAATACTTCATCATAATTTTTGGACTATACTTTACTCTTAAAATTCATTCTATTCTTTAACATCATTTAGTTGTTTCCCTTATTTTATTTTTTTCTTCATCTCCTTGCTCCCTCTAATTATTTACTTCAATTTAGTCTTTGACTTCATTTTATCATATATTTGATTTACTTTATTTTATTTCTTTTCTATTGTCCCTGTTATACCATAATTTCGACTATTCTATTATTTCCACTATTCTATTATTTTTTCTATTTTTTTCTCTTTAAATTTTTCATTTTCATTCTGAGAGTGGTAGGCTTAAAGGGGAGAAGAGACAGTATATAGCGCTAGTGCGAGGGAGAGAAGGTGCGCGTGACTCCGAGCCGTACTGCAGCTCCGGTGCGGAGTGCTTTGACTACACATGCAGCCCGTCTCAGCACCCACGCGCTGAGCCGCACTCCCGTGTTCATTCTCACTCCGGATTTGCCGTCGGACGGAATCAACGATTTTTAACAGTGTGGCGTCGGCCATGATGAGTATTGTCGCCAATGGAACGACTCCTCTAACAAAATGTTCACCTGTACCGTAGTATCGTTTTCGAAGCGGGAAGCTCAAAAAACCGCAAATTTCTTACGCAGATTGTGAAGTTATGAGTGCATTTCAGACTTTGCCGATGCGCTCATCGTGATTTTTGAGGCATTATCCGTAGGAAACAACTCTTAGTTTTGCTCTAGCAAAAGTTTGCAACAGGCCCATTGTAATCAAGCTTTTGTCTCTAATTAAAATTTTTGGGACTGCTCCAACTTAATATTCCAATGCGAACTGCCTGAGCTGAACACTTTCCTCCCTCAGTTTCGTACTGGTACACATTAGAGTTTAAAAAATTCATTTTTGACTGTAATTATAATATTTTGAACTTCTTGGCTTTGTTTTCCCTGCGAAATGGTGTGGATCCAGCACCATTGCTCCACCTTGTTACATACAGTTCGGGCCACTTCCTAGTGTTTTTTTTTTTTTTTTTTTTTTTTTTTCATCATAATGATAAATCTATGCACATGATTTCAAGTCAATCTGTTGCCTGGTTTTCAGCGAATAACATAAATATGTGAGGTTGGCAATGTCTGATGATGGAGTTAGCCCCATTTAGGGTAAATATGCTTTATCTAGTATGATCATTAACAGTGCCCATTATATTTTTTTCTACAGCTGTTTTATCCGAGTTGCTTTCTGGGAAGTAGAAGATTTATCCGTGGCATTACTGGCATTCTATCGGACACGTGCCCCTGTTTGATCAAATACCCAACACGCTCATGCAGGACTGTGAGTTAGATATTTTTTTTCTTTTTTTCTTCTAGTGAGATATCCTTCGCAACCTTCGCAAACGAAAAGCCACAAATCTGACACCTTTGCTTCTGTTTCTCGTCTATTGCATCCCATCATCAGAGAATATCATGACGGATAATGTGATGGAAAGATGAAATGACTTGTTCCATTGCGGTAGATCATAAAGAAAAAACTCAGCGTCCTCTGCTTACTGGATACCGGATGGAGTGTGAAATTTTCGAACGTGACTTTTGTCGAACTTTTATCTAAGAAAAGCAATTTTTTAGTCTTCTTCAAATGCGTTTTCCTGCAGGCGAATTTGCTTTTTTGAGCAACTCGTGAGGAAACTCCTCATAGAACTTCAGCGTGCACTCGAAGCAATCTTCTTCTATTTTCACCTGAAAGTAATGAAAATGGTTCCTAATTTGTTTCATCCACGGTATTAAAATAATTTTAAAATTTGTAAGAATTTTATGACCTGAAATCATCGTAGGATGCCGATTTGTACTATTTTTTTTTTTTTTTTCTAATCGGATATCCGAACTTTAACTTTTACATGCTGTACCGTACTTTTTCTCATTCGCACGGAAATTCATATGTATATGAGGTTTTTCGTAAAAAACTTCGCAATTTTCATGTCCAGAAAGATCTGATCAAAGTTGATCATTTGCATTTAGTTCCTCGGCTCTAAGTGCTCTACCCAAGGAAAATTAAAACGAAAAACTTGTGTAACAGAAATGATAGTTTCTCTGGTTTAATTTTTTTCCGCAGTGTGAAATTTCATTTCAGATAGGTTTTCGTTGAAAATCGTCGAATTCCTAATTTTTTTAAGATTGCCGTTTACTTCGGGCGTTTTCTGATGGTCTGGACTATATTTGCGATTCTTCGCGTTTCTTGTAACATCATGTCTTCATGTTTAGACCATCTCTCCTTTTTTTTTTAATATTTTCCCCCCTAATTTGATTAATGCCGACAAATCACTCATGTCCACATACTTTGTGAAATTCAACTTATCATGTTAGTTCGCTCGAAGGAAGTCGATGTCTTTTTGATGTGCCATCAACTTCCGTTGCTTGGATGTTCAACTCGTTTAAGTTTTTAGCCCAAGTTAGCCTAAGTCATACCCATGCAATTATACGTACAACACTGCCATGCTAAAGAAAAATGCCGCATGAACTTTCGAGAGTTGCCAAATTTCCCTTGATAAAATGTGTATTTTTTACAACATTCATGCGCATTTTTCCTTGAAGTTTCCAGATTTTTTAGATTAAATTGCGCACAAAACTGTCCGAAAATTTGGAAAAAAATTTTCACTAATTTCCCAGTAATCTCAGTTTTTATCGAAGGAAATTTGGCAACGTCTGAAGGCTCATACGGCGTTTTTCCTTAAGCACGGCGGAATAGACCTACTAATTATGAGGTCTTCAAGCAGAAACCATCCATCATTTTGATGCGAGCCTCAAGCTAAACAGCTTAAAGAGTGCTATTTACTTTTGGAGGGAAGGTTTCCGTGTAACGACGACGAATTATATGAGTTTTTGTACATTAAGTGATGAAGTAAGTTGTCTCTCGGAAAAGACTGTTACAACAATTACAACATCTGTATTATCTCGATGACGAACGAACAATACTGCCGATGTGCAAACTGACGATTTCGCAGAACGAAGAGAAAACTTAGCCTCGTTTGTAATTTTAAGGATAGACTTGCAATTTTTTCTTACATTACAGCGTCAGCGTACCCTTCCGAGGGTTGGCGGATATTCCTGGATGCTCGCCTCATGCGTTTCCACTAACTTTCATATCGGCTATCCCGCGCCTGGACGAAATCGCCGCTTGTGCGGGCAGAGTCGAAACAGGTACGGGGGCGCCACCTGAACTATTCATTTATTTAGATTTACAGAACTAAATTCATCAGAGGCTAACTAAAATTCTAACAAAAATAGACGGGCACCCAGTGATATTACAGTAGATCTCCTTGAGGATTGTGGCGTCTGCGCGCAGATTTTGGAAGCCACCTTGGTTGACGCATAACCTAAATAAACAAACAAACGAAAAAAAACGAAAAAAAGACGCGTCAGTGAAGCGCTCCGCTACAGAATTGGAAAAAACTGAAATTATAAACTTGCGTATTTTATACTGTAGAATGCGGCGGAGTCGCTAACTAATTTTTGCCAAAATTGTCAATCAGGCGGTTTTGTTCGTTGGCCCTCGATCCCTTTTACAAAAGCCATTATTTGTACCCGGAATTCATGATCATCCAACTGTTAAAAATACCCGATTTACTCTGAGTGAACAGCCAGCGTGAAAAAAAATCCAGCGCGAATTTCGCGCAGCACTCTGAGTGAATATATCAGAGCGTAAATATCACCAACGAAGGGACGAATTAGTCGAGGTACCTCAAGGAGCGTGAATTCAGGGCAACCTGATACGAGCGCCGAATGGCAAAAGGGCTGGACACACGTTCGAAGTGGAGCTTCAAAGTGGTAAACGTTTAGCCAAGAGTTGACTGGTGACGTGGCCCTTGATGTGTTCACTTTGTAGCGGTGTTTACACGACTTTGAAGACTTAACCATAAAATTTCATGTAAACAAACATTAAAAGTAAACAAAGATCGTGCTGAAGCAGTTTGATTTTATTAAAATGTATATAGACCGTGATAATTTTGTTAAAAAAGCTGTAGTGGTTGACAAGTTTCAGAGCCGAAACAGCAGGACCTTTTGCGATGACCTGATTTACTTTGGAAGCAGCAGGATTTGTACCTTGTGCGATAACCTGTCCTGGTGATGGATTGGTTGTTGCAGGAGCAAGTGAGACTGGGTTTTTAACTAGGTTGACAATTTTCAGAGTCGAAACGGCAGGACCTTTTGCGATGACCTGATTAAATTCCATAATTTTTCACTACGCAGACGCACTTAAATTATTATTGTAATAGCCGCGCGCTTGGAGAGGTTAGATGGACGTTGAGATCCGCAGAGCATCGATGACCTTCAGAGGAGAGCGGGCCGCTCTCCTTTGAAGGTCATCAATCAACACTTGACTAAACGTTTACCACTTTGAAGCTCCACTTTAAACGTGTGTCCAGCCCTAAAGTGGTTGCGCACTCGTCAATCACCGCCGCGACTCGAGTTCAAATCCATGCTGCGGCAGTTCCGTTTAACGTTTGCCTGTCAGATTTTCACTCCCGCCAGAGCGCGACATTCGCGCCGGATCCATGCACTCAGAGTAAATGGTGGTAAAAATAGCAACTGAGTAAGCGTGAATTTCGCGCCGGGATTTTTAACAGTGAACGTGTGAGAAATTCAGCTACATCTCTATGAGAATATCCCGAGTGCAAAGAGGAGTTGTGGTACCACATCTGTTGATTCATCAAACCAATAAACATTAGCTCGCAGCCGAGCGTGTATCGATGGTGTTTTGAACTCATGTGTTGATACTCAAATCTTTATGTCTTCGATAACGGCCTTGTGCACGAAGAGGAACTTTTTTCACCCCTTTCAAGAGCGGGCGGATATTGCTGGATGCTTGGCTCATGCGTTTTCACCAATTTTTCTCTAAAGCCCTGGAACCTGGATAGACGATCAAATGCCGAACCAATTCCGATCAAAGTAAACATGCTGATGACTGATGGTCACCATCCAACATCAAATTTTGACGGGCCGCACTATTTTGTTCCAAGTAAAATCAGAATAGAGTGCCACCATTGTTGGAATTTAAGCAATGATGCAGTGGATTTAAATGTTGAACATTCTTTTTATTTGATTAAACAAAGTACCGGCGGGCCGAGGCGTCACATTCTAGGATACGGAATCGACTGACTGAGTAAGACTCGTCAAAGTGGCACGTCTACAGAACTGCAATCTTGCACATTTTCGATCAACTGCGTCGTTGCTCGACGGCTGAAATTAATATTCTAACAACCATTCCTCATTTCCTGCCTCAGGAAACATTTCTGCCAAGTTTTCACTTTAAAATCAAGCAAATTAATGAGTTTAAGACCGATGACTCCCGACACTTTGATGGTAATCGGTTCGGGAATTCGATCGTCCATCGAGACCTTAATTTCATGAGCTACCTCGCACCCGGACGAAATCGCCGCTTGTGCGGGCAGAGCCGAAACAGGTGCGAGGGTACTCTAATCCATTATTCACACTGTTCAAATTTTCTGTTCATCAATTTAAACTTCTTCCAAAAAGAGACGGGCTCCCAGTGGAATCAAAGCAGATCTCTCTCAGAAACGTGGTGTCTGCGCGCAGATTTTACATACCAGTTTGGTTGGCGACNCCCCCCCCCCCAAAAAAAAAGCACCCTCCCCCCTGAATGTCTCAACAGTTCACTGAACCATTGGAATTAGCCCCATGTGCGATGGGAAAACATGTTGCGCCTGGATGAGTAGGCAAAACTCATTAATATACTGCTACCAGCTACCACGCCTCCTCTCTTGTGATGTCGATGCCTAAATGGCATAACCACGTATCTTTGTCCAGTGGCGTGGCGTACTTTGCGATATATCGATTGTTTTGTCATTTAAACCTATGGAAAAGGATCGTTAATTAGGGTGTTCGCAGCGAACACCTTGGTAATCGATTCTTTACCATAGGTTTAAATGGCAGAACAGCGATATATCGCAAAGCACGCCACGCCACTGTCTTTGTCAGCGACGATGCACGTACCAAAGGATCTTTATCTTCAATCCCCGTATTCCTTAATGTTCCTGCTTCCGTAATTTACGTTGTAATTGCAACTCCCAGTGAAGGATGGATGTACTAAGTAACATTTGTGTTCGCACGAAAAAAATAGTCTAACTGTAAGCGCCAAGTGTGACGTTGAGCTTCTTCATTTCTCTCAAGTTAGATCTGCTGTCCCAGGATGTAAAATCTACTTCGAACGATGAATACTAACCCAAATTTGTTTTAGAACTACCCAGCTTTTATAGATTACGCGAAGAAATTGTTTTCCGTAACTACCTTACTCCCTTCATTCGCAGGAGGTTTCAACACTATTCATTTTGTTTAAATGTTCAGAAATTTGCGATCTTCCTCATGACTGTTTGGTTAAAACGATGTGTGTCGTTTTTTAATCCGAGAGTGGAAAGTTAAAGTTTTATTTGGGTACACACACTTGTAAAAACTGAAGGACTTTTTAGTTGAGTTTAACTGCTTAACTACCTACAATGTATCTATTTACGGCCCTTAATTACAAGCATTCACATATGTAAATCAATCCAGAATTTATGTAATTCAAGTAAATTTCTCAATGATTAATTGCTGAAATCAGTAATTCTAAGTCAGCTAAATGCCACTGCTTGAATTGTCCGTGCGAATTAGTCGTAATCAGTGGGTTTGTGCTCTTTCGTCCCAAACAATTTTCATTCATCTGAATCTGATGCTTAATCGGGTGCTGAATCTGATGAATTTTTTTTTTTTTTTTATTTATTTATTACCTCTTCAAAGCACATACATTTTGATTATAATATTTGTAACATAAGAAAGAAAGAAAAAACTGACAGAGAATAAAGTTACAGTATTACATCCGAGCCTAGGTACATACAGGTTTCGTGCCAATACAAATAAAATTACAAGATTACATATGACGGTGAAAAACAAGAGAAGAATTCATTTATTTAATTACTAGGTGCTCATGCTGGCTTGAGGCGACCCGGCTCTGCCGTATGGCAATTCTACGGGTGGATTGATTGCCCTGTCTTTTTTCATCAGAACCTCCCTACAATAACCTGATACCAAATTCCAATTACCCGAAGACTCTAACATACTCTCCACCACGTTTTCCGGAGTAAGCATTCCAAGGCGACCAAATAACATATTACGTTCCTTCTGAAAGGCACCACATTCAAAGAATGTGTGCTCAGCAGTGTCCTCTTCCGAGCAAAACGGGCAGGAGCTGTTCCGAACAATACCTCTACGCAACAGGTATCTTTTAAAACATCCGTGTCCGGACAAGAACTGGCAGATGTAGAAATCAATGTCCCCGTGC